TGGGATTTTGGCCTGCGTCAATAGGAGCATAGTGTCTAGATCTATGGAAGTCATGCTACCCCTCTATTCTGCCTTGGTTAGACCACACCTGGAATATTGTGTTCAATTCTGGGCACCACGTTTCAAGAGATATTGACAAGCTGGAATGTGTCCAGAGGAGGGTGACTAAAATGATCAAGGGTCTGGAGAACAAGCCCTATGAGGAGCGGCTTAAGGAGCTGGGCATGTTTAGCCTGAAGAAGAGAAGGCTGAGAGGAGATATGATAGCCATGTATAAATATGTGAGAGGAAACCACAGGGAGGAGGGAGCAAGCTTGTTTTCTGCTTCCTTGGAGACTAGGACGCGGAACAATGGCTTCAAACTACAAGAGAGGAGATTCCATATGAACATTAGGAAGAACTTCCTGACTGTGAGAGCCGTTCAGCAGTGGAACTCTCTGCCCCGGAGTGTGGTGGAGGCTCCTTCTTTGGAAGCTTTTAAGCAGAGGCTGGATGGCCATCTGTCAGGGGTGATTTGAATGCAATATTCCTGCTTCTTGGCAGGGGGTTGGACTGGATGGCCCATGAGGTCTCTTCCAACTCTTTGATTCTATGATTCTAAGTGTGGAGACTATCAGTCCTTTAGTTCTTGTAATAGCAGCTCCATGTATGACTTTCATCTTTCTCTGAAAGCTTTGTTTGGACTGGATCTACACTGCTATATAACTTAGCTTCAGAATGCCCATTTAAGTGCATTGAACTGGATTATATGGCAGTGTAGATTTAGCTTTGGTTGAATGAAGGAGTGGTAAGCACTGATGAGTTCACATTCCTTACATTTCCTCAGTTTATGGAAGTTGGGAGGAGAAAAGGAACAAGATTGAATCCTATGGGATTCCTCCATACTTGAGTATTGTGGTCAGTCTCCAGCTGGAATGGATCCATAATGCTTTGTGTTTAACTACTTACAGATAACACGACTAGATAAAGACAAAGAAGAACTGCGTAATCAGCTACTCAGTGTTGATCCTACAAGAGATAACAAACGTATGGAAGCTCTGTTAAGGGAGAAGACCCAACTGCTGCAGAAAGTAAAGGGCTTAGAAGCTGAAGTAGTAGAAATTAGAGCCCAGAGGGAAGACTCTAGTGTTCAAGCAGACAATGTGCAGAGGTTGCAGCAGCGACAGCTGGCTGAGATGCAAGGGACCGTCAGATCCCTGGAGGTATGAAATAAGGTTCACAGGACATAAGAAAAGAATATACTCCTATGTCTGTGGATATGAAATATCTGTCCATAGATATGAACACACATCAGGATATTGATTAATTGGGGCAGTACATGGCTGTCTCTGTTTACTGTTTTCTTCCCTTAATTGCAGATAAAATTGGTTCCCAACAATCTTGAAAATATATTGTAAATGTACATTTGCTAATTATTTTAGAATATTTTTTGTGTCATGATATTAACAAAAAAGTATAGAATTGTGTTATAGAGGTTATTCATGAATATTATTTCAATTGGAAGTGGGAGAATTCACTGCTGATTTATGGGTAACAGGATGGTCATCTGTCGGGGGTGCTTTTATTTCCTCCATGGCAGGGGGTTGGACTGAATGGCCCATGTGGTCTCTTCTAACAATATGATTCTGTAATTCATGTTTCTAATACTCTGGTAAGCAAGCCTGTTGCTTGAAATGATAAATATTTATCTTGCTTTGTATCCTAGGTATAAAACAGTAAAAATTCTACAAGTACGATTGGCAGTACTGTAATATGTTATACTGTGGCTTAAGACTATTTGGTGCAAGTGATAACTCCCCTCCCCCCCCTCCCCCGTTCTGCCACCAAGATGGAAGGATATAAACTACTCCAAATTTGAGAGGCAGTTAAGCAAAGAAACTTCTATATTTTGTGCAGTCCTAATTTGGGTTGCTGTGAATTTTCCGAGCTGTATGGCCATGTTCCAGAAGCATTCTCTCCTGACGTTTCACCCACATCTATGGCAGACATCCTCAGAGGTTGAGGTGTCTGTTGGAAACTAGATAAGTGAAGTTTATGTATCTGCGGAATGTCCAGGGTGGGAGAAAGAACTCCTGTTTGCTTGAGACAGGTGTGAATGTTGCAAATGACCACGTAGGTGTTTACGTGGGCCAAGTTGTTTGCAGCTTCAAAGCCTGGCTGATTGCTGCCTGGAGAAATCTTCTTTTGGGAGGTGTTAATCCCTGACTGGAATTCCCCTGCTTTTTGAGTGCACCTCTTTATTTACTTTCCTGATTTTCGAGTTTTTTTTAATACTGGTAGCCAGATCCCGTTCATCTTCATGGTTTCTCTCCTTCTGCCAAAACTGTCCATATGTTTTTGGATTTCAATGGCTTCTCCATGAGTCCAACATTATAGTTGTTGGAGTGGTCCAGCATTTCTGTGTTCTCAAATAATATGCTGTGTCCAGGTTGGTTCATCAGATGCTCTGCTATGACTGACTTCTCTGGTTGAATTAGTCTGCAGTGCCTTTCATGTTCCTAGAGTCATTTTCGGACACTGCATTTGGTGGTTCCTATGTTGACTTGTCCACAGCTGCATAGTATACAGTAGACTCCTGCAAAGGTGAGAGGATCCCTCTTGTCCTTTGCTGAACATAGCATTTGTTGGATTTGTTGAGAATCCAACAAAGGAGTCCCCTAGGCAGCAGCCAGCCAGACATTGAAGATGCAAGGCTATTAAATGCTAATCAAGGTGGACATTTGCAACATTCACACTTGCCTCAAGTGGGCAAGAGTTCTTTCTTCCACCCTGGACATTCCACAGATATATAAACTTCACTTATCTAGTTTGCAACAGACCCCTCAACCTCATAGTATGTCTGCCATAGATGTTGGTGAAACGTCAGGAGAGAATGCTTCTGGAACATGGCCATATAGGCCAGAAAACTCACAGCAACCCAGTTATTCCAGCCATGAAAGCCTTTGGCAAGTTCTAATTTGATTAGTAACTGGTAGGAACCAATCATACACATTTACTATTTCCTAGTTGGCATTGGACCATGTATCAGTAGGAATTATACTTCAGAAATCCAGGCAATAGAGAACAGAATACTTGATGTCCTATTCAAATTTGGAAAATAGAACAGGAGATAAGGAAGAAAAAGGATGCAAGTTGGCCCTTTGTTGTATAAGACTAACAGCCCCACTCTGTGCATTTGATAGTATATAGTAGGAAAAGGGGAATTGATAAAAACTAGATAGTGCAGTGGAATGATACCAAAAGAAACCAATTAATTTTGAGTCTGAAAAGGAAAACTACCTCCCCAAATATTCCCATTGAAAGAATATACTATTGATATTCATTACTTTCTGCTAAATAATATTAGGATCATAGTTCAAAAGTCATTCCTCAAGCATTATATCTCACAGGTAATATAAACATCTCTTTCTTAATTTTTAAGGCAGAAAAACAGTCGGTTAAGCTGCTTCTTGAGCGTGTTGAAAAGGAGCTGCAAATGAGCAATGAGCAAAATACCCTCTTAACAGGCAAGCTGCATAAAGCAGAACGAGAGATCAATGGCTTGACTACTAAAGTAAGGAATTTTTTATGTTGTCTAGACCATATTTTCAGAGATGTTACAGGAAGCATTATTTGCTAATTGTATGTTTGGAAACAAACTGCTCTTTCCTTTCCTCTTTTCATAATTTAGTATTTGTGAAAAGCCCATATCTGTACTTTCTTGGATCTTTTTATGAAAACATGCCAATCATTTAGCTCTTTTGAGTTCTTTCCTAAAGCAATAATGGCATCCACAAGTCACAGTTAATAGCTATTTTCATTATGAGCAAGACAAATTGCCTCGTGCTGTGTCATTGACATTGTTGGTTTAGTTGCTGGATTGTTTGAAGGGGTTTCTGGGCTGTCCCAGTTGTGACAGCAGATGACAGTCATGCTAGTTTGGCCTTTCCCTTGGCATACCTGTTTTTCCAACATGGAGAAGAGATGGGTAGAAAGCAGTGAGGGACTTGAACAGTACCTGCAGTTTTCAGGGGCAACCTCTAATGCATTACACTAATTCTCTCTGGAGGTTAGCAGAACACAAGCCCCTTCTACACTGCCCTGATCCCAGATTATCGGATTTAAACTGGATTATATGAGTCTCCACTGCCAGATAATCTGGGATGAGAAAATAATCTGGGATTAGATCCTGGGATCTAGGAGCAATGTCCAAAGGGAGCCTGTCACAAAATGGTTGTAGCTGATAAACCAATTAAGCTTTTTAGTGCAGTAACTATTGAGTCACTGGATCAAGGGATACTGTCCAAAGTATGACTCTGCTCTTTCAGTAGGTCTGTAGCCCTATCTAGAATAGACTGCACCCAGTTTTTGAAGGAGAAAACTAACTATCCATAAGGCTCCCATTTTGGTGAGTGACAGTTTATTGAGGATCAGACAGCCAATTAATGATTTCAAACACAGCTTCATTGCTTGAATGACATCTCCTGATCTGTGGAGAAATAGAATTAAGTATCATCTATATATATTAATGGCATTCAACTCCATATCTCCTGGTGACTTCACCCAGCAGCTTCAAAGCACTGGATAGTACAGGGAATAAAAATAATTGTTGCCAATGCACAGTTCAGCAGTTGGGCATGGTTCTTGTAGTTTATTTGGATTCAAATCTATGTGAAAGGTTAGCCCTGACTTAAGTCCCATTGATTTCAGTTTGAACTAAGGATGCATCTACACTGAAAGTTTTAACTGTCAAGGCTCAGTGCTATTGAATCATGAAGTGTTACAAGGTAGTTTTCTCCGGCAAAGTGTGCTGGTTCCTCACCAAACTACAACTTCCATAATGTCATAGTATTGAGCCATGATGTCAAACTATATTACTTCTACATACTAAGTGAGACTGTCATAGGCTGGATTCAATCCCAACTATATAGAAATAAATACATTCAGGAACCGTAATTTAAGAGAGATGTTGACAAGCTGGAATGTGTCTAGACAAATGATCAAGGGTCTGGAGAACAAGCCCTATGAGAAGCGGCTTAAACAGCTGGCCATGTCTGGCTTGCAGAAGAGAAGTCTGAGAGTAGACATGATGAGGGCCATGTATAAATACGTGAGAGGAAGTCATAGGGAGAAGGGAGCAGGCTTGTTTTCTGCTGCCTTGGAGACTACAACGCGGAACCATGGCTCCACCTGAACATGAGGAATAACTTCCTGACTGTGGGAGCTATTCAGCAGTGGAACTCTCTGCCCCAGAGTGTGGTGGAGGCTCCTCTGGAGGCTTTTAAACAGAGGCTGGATGGCCATCTGTCAGGGGTGCTTTGAATGTGATTTTCCTGCTTCTTGGCAGGGGCTTGAACTGGATGGCCCATGAGGTCTCATCCAGCTCTATGATTCTATGTTACATTGTTGAATAATACTGTGTGTGCATGTAAAATGTTTGTATTCCATACTGGCTTGGAAAATTTTGTATTTTTGTATTGTGTTTAAATGTAATATTTAGCAGAATAAAGATCAGCAGTATTAATAACGGGGTGAAGAAAAACCCCAGGTGTCATGACCACAGGAAATGAGTTTGAAATCCATCCCTAGCCTTCAAAATAGCTTACAGACATTGTTCTTGTTTTTATTCTGTTATTACATCTTGTGAGGAAGTGATAAGATAAAGTAGAAATTATTGGTTGCAGCAGAGAGAGAAAAGAAAGAGAAAATACCATCAGATTCTGTATAGAGAAAAAACTGGTACAGAACAGCAAATGGAATTACTTAACATAACTTTAGAATGGAAACTTTACAGTTTTTGATGCTTACGCTCTCTCTCTCTCTCTCTCTCTATATATATATATATATATATATATATATATATTCAAAGTAATTCATGTTTATTTTGTGGTGAATAAGTGAGAAATTAACCTAACTTTTTCAGTATGTGGTGAAACTATCAATATGAAACTGAATGATGTTAAACAGAACATGTGGGTAACCACAGAAAAAACGTTGGAGGTTGTACAAAGAATCTCAATTTTGTCATTCCTTTCATTCTCTAACAATAACATTGCTGGTCTAATTGTTCAAAGTACAAGAAGTTAAACATTCAGAGCATACTCATTGCAAGTGTATATAGCTGTTTTGTAAAGCTAAATGAGAATTATTATGGAAGTTAGAATATACTGTTCCTTAATACAGTCTTATAAATAAGTATAACATGTACTGTGCAGAATAGGGATGAGAGGGATACTACCTTGAGGAACCTCCCTAGGAACAACTGTCTTCTTTGTGTAAAGATGGTAATTATTTGAAAAATGCTTCTCAAATGATCCATATCATGCAGAAACTAACGTTGTTCAAAGTATGTTTTATGCAAAGGCTATTGATGACATTTAGCAGAATATGAAGTAGAAGGTCAGCCTTGCATGAAGTGATTTATTAAACCAATTCTAGATGTAGGCGCTTCTTTAAAAAGAAATGCCTGAAATGCTACTATATTACTTTTGATTTTTTTATTTATAGATTTATAAGTCAAAATGTGGCGCCCTTGGTGGTGCAGCAGGTTAAACCACTGAGCTACTGAACTTGCTGACTGAAAGGTCGGCGGTTGGAATCCAGGGAGCAGGGTGAGCTCCTGCTGTTAGGCCCAGCTTATGCCAACCTAGCAGTTTGAAAACATGCAAATGTGTGTAGATCATTAAGTACTGCTTCTGCAGGAACATAACAGCGCTCCATGCAGTCATGCTGGTCACATGACCTAGGGGGTGTCTACAGACAACGCCAGCTCTTTGGCTTAGAAATGGAGATGAGCACCACTCCTCAGAGTTGGACACGACTAGACTTCATGTCAAGGGGAAACCATTACCCTTATTTTAAATCAAAATGTATTACACACACTTTCCCCTTTTTACAATATCTTAGACAAAAGAGTATGCCATATTTTATACAAATGAACAGTAAAAAAAGAATCAAACATACCTTAAGTATGCTTCTTATTTGTTTTTAACTTTCCCCAATTATAACTTACGCTACATATATCTATACTACACATCTTTTATCTACTTGTACATTTTTATTTTGTTGTTGTTGTTATATCTTTTTTTCTCCCCCCTTGCCCTTATTTTGTGCTACTGTAGTTACTTAATGAAAAACTGTCATTCTGAACTTTTCTGGAGCTTTCACACTAGAAAGGTTGTGATTACATTTGACATTGCAAATGGGTACAAGAGCTTTTCTTTAGCTATTTAATTCTCACCAACCCTGCAATTACTGTACTGGAAAAGCCTAAACTACATAATGTTTCAGTTCAAGCAGTAATTATCTTTACTGTTTTGATTTTTCCATTGAAATGTAGTGTTTTTAATGAAACGGGCAGATCACTGCATTTAGTTTTATACTGTGTTGGATTTGTGAGGCAGCATTTCTTTTACAAAGTTAGCAGAATGACAAAAGAAGATAGACGGTGGCAGAAACTGCCATGGTACTGATGATTTAATAGTGTAGTTAAGGTCTAGCATTTTTCTAGCATGAACACTTGGGTGACTGAAGTGACAGAATGTGGAAACAGAATGAAAATAAATAACCACAAACTGGGCTACATCTGTTTTTATATTTAAATGTCATCTTCAAATGCCATTCAAAGAATTAGACTTCTGAAGTGCTGGGCCTGTTATTTTGTATCACTTTTATGATTATTTAGTATGGTAATGTTTGATTTTAACACATGAAGTGGGCATGGGTTCAAGCTCTACTTATGATTGGAAATAATTAATAGAAGATGTGTAAATTACATAATATTTTCCTTAATACAAGCAAAATTGTTGGGCTGAACCTGTCACTGTTTTGAATGCTAAAGCTAACTTAATACAGTCAGAAAACCCAAGTAAGCTGATTTTCACAGGAGATTCACCTGGATGTGTTTGCATATGTATATGCATGTATGTAGGTGGATAAACAAAGCCTCTTTTGTGTTGAAATGTCTCTCCTAGAGCTTCATGTCTCTTAGTTCTTGACTAATAGTGCATTTAATTAATCTCCATTGCACACTATACAATAGCATTCTAATTCACTAGCATTAAAAAAATGCGTACAGATTCTCAAAGGATATTTATTGAGAATCAGTATAGGATGTCTGATGTCCACACTGCCTGATTGGGGAACTACCCCCTGAGAAACAGTCAATAAGTTGAGAATCCTGTTTCTAAAAGAATGTGCAAGGTGTTCTTAAAAATCTAAATTTGAACAAAAGCAATACTTAGTACCTTCCTGCTTTCTATAGGTCGAAGAACTTAAGCATTCACACAAGTTAGAAGTAACAAACATCAAGTTGGAATCAGCGAAAGCTAGGAGCGAGATAGAAAGAGAAAGAAACAAGATTCGAAGTGAAATGGATGGTAACAAATTATTCCTTTGTGATTTTTCATCGTTGCCAGTTTTTTGTTTTTTTGTGTCAGGAGCTACTTGAGAAACTGCAAGTTGCTTCTGCTGTTGCCAGTTAAAAGCATTGAATTTTCAACTGATGATAGCAAGAGGTACAAACCAATAAAGTGCTGCTGTGCCACAGGGAGTTTGGTGAAAGCATTATGTCACTGGGAAACTTTTCATTTTAATGCAAAGCATTAAAAATTGCCATGTTTTTGTCCATATTGCTTCATCACCCTCATCTCGCTGCTGGTGGGCATGAGAGAGGGGGCCTTCTCAGTGGTTGCTCTATTTCTCTGGAACGCCCTCCTCGTCAAAGTTAAAACAGCCCCCTCCCTCCCCTCCTTCAAAAAACACCTAAAACTCTTCTATGCTTCATAACGTATGGAGAGGTTAATGAGTAATGAAACGCCCTCATTCTCGACTGATGTCCTGTCAAGGGTTTACACATTTGTAGAGCCATTTTACATTTATATTATTCTAGATTCTATACTTAAACAGTACTTATTGCTATTGCACTTTATGAGGCCTGATCGTTTATCCTTCCCATCGAATCTATTTCATACGCACCTTTTAGCTATGATTTTCTATTTTATTGTGCTATATTTTATGACTGCATTGAATATATACCTTTGTTTTTATTATTGTAAATGGCACTGAATATTTGCCTTTGTGCTTGAAAACCAACCTGAGCCTCTCCAGGGAAAGAGGGCAGGTTAGAAATAAGGTCAAACATAATGGCAAAGGCCAGATGATTTATTCTAGAATTTAGGGAAAAAAACTATATAACTGAATCTAGGAGAAGCCTCCAATCTAATGTCTAGATATTTACTATGTGTGGTTCTTGCTTGGTTATGAAATATATAGTATGAATATAATTGAATATGTCAACCTTGCAACTCTTATCACAAGAATGGTATGTGGCAGCACTCCTATAAATGAGAGTCAAAACAGAAATGCCTGTGCAAAATTGTTTATATTTGTAGAAATCCAAAGATGTGTGGTTATGTGTAGAAACTCTCACAAATAATAAGTCCTTTTTCATCCCTTATGTATATAATGCTGCCCAGCCCAAGTTAAAAGAATGTAACTGTTATTATTTTACACAGAAAAAAGTTAGACAACTAATTTCCCCTCTGAAACCAAATAGAATTAGGTTTTAATCATACACATTGTTGGTTGAGAACCATAGGTTCTGTTTTCTCGATTTATATTTAAGTTTGTGTTGTCGAAGGCTTTCATAGCCGGAATCGCTATCTGTACGGCTATGTTCCAGAAGCATTCTGTCCTGTTCTTTCGCCCACATCTATGGCAGGCATCCTCAGAGGTTACGTTTTTTCCTATTATTTTACCGAAGCTATATAATTATGACTCCTGGATAGTAATTTTAAAATGTGTATATATAGGGTTGCGTTCTGATAATGAAATACTTAAGACAACACTTGAGCGGCACAAAGTTATACTAACAGAAAAGGATCGTGAATTAATACGCAAAGTGCAAGCTGCAAAAGAAGAAGAATTCCAGAAACTTGCACTATTGCAGGAGGAAAAGTGAGTATATATTTCCTTTGATTTTTCTCTTGCATAGCTTTTTAGAAGGTTTTAAAACTTTAGCAGACTCCTTCCTTATAACTGAATGAATTGTGCATTATGTACCAGTTATGAAATTATGGAGTGTCATCTTAACATCCAGCACTTTCTTGAAATGATTATTTTTTTCTTTTAAAGGGAGTTCTTGTGTTATTAGTTCTTTCTGTATCATTAATGAATAGAGCTTTTGAGTTTCTGAAAAAGTCCACATAACTCGGACTCTATGTCAGCCAAGTAGATGAGAAGTTCCCCTAGTACATGCTTTAGTATTGGCTAGTAGGATTGAGCTATCAAAGATTTGCAGGAGCTATAAAAAAAATTTGTCTGAGCTATCAAAGATTTGCAGGAGATATCAATATGGTTAACAATGTTGTAACACTTCTTTTAGATTAGAACTTGAGGCTACATTGGCTGAACTAAAGAAAGAAAAATTAGAGCAAGATACTCAGAAGCAATCACAAAAGGATCAATATGAAAAAAAGCTATCCACTATGCAGTTGGCAGAAGAGTCTAGCAGAAGAGAGATCCAGAATCTTAGGTAATGTATGCTAATTTCAATTGTATTTAATAATAGGTTTTTTTCCCATCTTCAGAAATTGATACAAAACAAAGCATAAACGCAGATGTTGACACTTAGCTGTTTCTGAATAAGTTGATCAAGAATTTCTATTCCAATTAAAATTGGCTGTTTAAATTTCTACATCTGTTCATAGTTACCAAAGAAGCACGATAGGACAGAAACTCAAAACCTTCAATGATCAGGCTAGCTCATGCACTGTAAAGTACCATTTTGAAACTGGTAGTAAACCATTGTATCAAATGTTTTCCATTATAGTTTATTGAATTTGATAGTAACATGAATATCTATCAAACATGATTCCAGACCATTTGCACTCACTGGATTTTCCATCTCTGGGGATTCCCCAACATTGCCCTTCTACTTTCTTTCAACTTGATTCTTTGTTTCAACCTGTAAACATTTGTTACACATTTTGTGAACCTTTGCATCTTGCTTGCTGATATATGTATATGCATGTATAGCAGGCAGACCTCAAATGAGGGTATTTATGTCACATTTTGGTTATGCCTAGGCCATTTTAATCCCAGAAGAGGTATTGCAAAAAAAAAAAAAAAAAAAAAAGGCAGTAAGAACTCCAGAACCCATAGAGGCCATTTGGAAGCAATATATATACATTGTACAACCTGGTATAAAGGATAATTTAATATTCCACTGTTGGATATTTTTCCATTTGTGCTTTTACCCTGTGTGAGGTACTATTTAGCTTGAAAATATTCATTTATTTTTATTTATATTTTATATATTTTTTAAAAAAAATGCAATACTGTATTGATTTATAGATTAAAACTTCAACAGCAAGCTTCAAATTCTGAGGAGCTAGAAAGAGAAAGAAGTGAAAATGCAGATCTAAAGCAGGTAATGCTTTGTTATGCCCTTTCATGGTAGGCTAGATCATTTTGTGTTGTTTTGCAACAAGTTCTTGTGATACAATTTTATTAGCTAATTTTTGTAAGTTTTGAATGTGCCTTGTAAGAACTAAAAAAGAGGCTCCAGTGTCCAACATTGTCCAAAAGTTACTTATTTATTGGATTTATACCTGCCTTTCTCCCAGAGTGGAATTCAGCATGGCTTCTGGAAGGTTTACAATTTGGGGTAGAAAGACAATTTTTCCTGTGTTGTGTACACACACTCCGAGTTACAATCATCTGACTTACATAGGACTCCTAGTTACAAATGGGGAGAGACAGCAGCAAATAAGAGGAAATCTACCCCTGGGAAGGGAATTTTACTTCTGGAATTGTTATGAGAAAAAAAGATGTCTCCCCTGTAGCTTTATCACCAACCCTTGTTTCCATGATAAGCCCAACATTTTCAAAATCTAATTGTCAGAGGGAACAGAAAGTGAGGTGAAGTCTGCTGAACAGGGGCATAAACCGCAATGTTACAGGTGTGCTGACTCTTCTCATGCTATCCAAAGCAAAAAACATGGGGGAGGGGACTAGAATTACATTTGAAAAATATATCTGTTTCCAACTTACATACAAATTCAACTTAAGAGCAAACCTAGAAAACTCAGGGACTGCCTGTGTTAGTTGTAGATATTGAAAAATATACCTGTGAAGGCAGAAACCTGTCTAATTATAATGACAAATGTTTGTGGTTTGTCCTGTTCTCCTCAGTCCTATTTGGAAGTCCCTTCTTACATCTATTGTATTGAGCGGGGAAGGTATAGGGATGTTCGCTGACCCACCCCATCCTTCATATTTTTAATTGTGTTAAATAAATCTCAAATATGACACATTATAGGGATTTCTATACTATGACATGTCTCTGAAGCTGAGCATAGAATTGCTTTCTAGTTTTCAAGCCCCCTCCCTTACTAATCTGAAGGATTTTTTCCTCCAAAAATGAATAGAAAGTAATGTGCAGTGCAACAAATAATGTAACAAATTTCCAGTTTTTATCAGTATGTAATAAGTAATGGAGTATGGTCTAAATATCTTTAAAGCATTAGATCCTTTGTAATAATGGAATCTAAACAGGGGCATCCCTAGTTAGTACCTAGCTAGCTCTAGACTACTCCTTTCCTAAGAAAACCTAATAAAATTAATGGGGTCACCATGAATCAGTAAATAATTTGAAGGGACATTACATAGGTTAATAACAATAGGCTACTTTTCAGTCATGTTACTAGGTAATAGAGCAAAGAGCTGTTTAAAAAGTTTACTTTCCCAATGCTGATTTCAAACCCTAGAGCAGTTCGGTACCACTTTTGGTCCTCCAGCTGTTTTGGTCTCCAGTTCCAACCAGAATTCCTGGCTGTTGAACAAGATGACTACATCTTCTGGGAGTTGGTGGCCAGATCAGCTGGAGGGCCGCAGGCTGTGCACCTTGCTCTTAGAACCTCATAAAGACATTAATCAACTCCATGTGATATATTTCTCTTGCAGCGCAGCCATGATTTGCAGCTCCAAGTGGCTTCCCTTTCACAGTCAGAGAATGACTTGCTAGAGTCCAATCAGAAACTCAAGGAACTGCTGGAGAGATTAAAACACGAATGCCGGAATGCACGAAATCAAGCAGAAAGGGCTCAGTTAGATTCAGAGAAGTAAGCTTTCCTCCTAAATGTGCTTGTAACATTCTATCTCTTGCTACAAAAATCTGGATTCTAGTGTAAATTTCACATTCAAAAGATATGTTTTCCTATTACAAAAATTTCAGATAAAAGTTCTCCTGGGAAGGGCCATTATGCTTTTGTAAGAATTCAGTCCATCTTTCTTCTTAGTATCTGCCCAAACCCAGATGAAAGCCCTGTAGTATCACCTTTGATTATGGTGTATTTAATCTAGGAAGTGCACAATGCTGACTCCTGCTTGACTAAGTCACACTCTCAGCCTTAGAAAAAATCGTGGCAAATCCCCATCCCCTGAATAAACGCTTTTTCATTTGGTGCAAGGAGGAATCAGCATTTTCTGGTGGTAACAAACCCAATCATATTTCATCTCTTTTAGATCTACCATAATGTAGAAAATTTATAGAAAATCACCCATAGATTCCTGATGGAATGTCCAGAGGTTGCCAACATTTATGTGGAAAACTTATGAATATTTTAGTCTTTGTTTTTGTTTTAATGCCTCTAAATAAACAGGCACGCCCCAAGCTACAAATATCCGACTTACAAATGACTCATAGTTAAGAACGGGAGTGAGACAACAGGAAGTGAGAGAAATCTATCCCTAAGAAGGAAAATTAATTCCTAAAAGAGTTATCTCCACTGAAACTTTATCTCCAATCCTTGTTTTCACAACAAGGCAAAATCTTCAAAATCTCTCTATATAAATTACCTATTCCAACTTACGAACAAATTCACTGTAAGAATAAACCTACAGACATTATCTTGTTCATAACTTGTGGACCGCCTGTAGTTTACAATTGGCACAAAATCAATGTTATTACAAATATTCAACCAAGAGATGGTGCCTGTCCTCTTGCTCTTTGGGAGAGGGTAAGGGGCATGTCTGGTGAACATTTGATCTTTCAGCCAAGTACATTGTGGTGTTGATCTTGTTCCTCTGCCTATCCTTGAGGCAGACAATATTGTTTTTCTGGCTCGCCTTTTGTATTGTCTTGAACAAAATAGTGGTGAGTATATACAAATGTGTGGCTCGGTTCCTAGTGATTACTTTCAGATGATAGCTTGATTAAGTATTTATAGTGAGCACTTAGATATCTTTGACAAGTTGCTATTTGTGTTAGTTTTTTTTTAAGTTCTTTATTGATATTTTTACAGTGGTTTGAAGGATATGTTTATTGGATGCAGTAGTATGCGCATGGCCCACGTTTGCATACAACCAGTTTTACCGATGGTATATGGAGCATTATTAATATATCAGCTGCGTGTTCTTTTGGACTTTAAGAACAATTTTATGACCAAAATGTATAGGCATATGATCTCTTGTAACTTCTTCCTTGATCGTAATGACCCTTAATTTATAGCTATTTTGCTTCCACATTGATTCAGTATTTTCACAGAAGTGTCACAGAATTGATTTGATGGAGGGGTATTTATTTTCTAGGACATTCCCAATAGATGAGAAATGAAACATTTGTCAAAAGTTTCTGACAGCTTTAAATCCAGTTTTAGGCATCTGAAGATTTTATATTTGTTCTGCGTGCTGAAATGTTTTGAGGAGCATATTTACTTTCATGTGTTCTATCAATCTGAGTAGCCTGAGAATTAATGTGGTGGTAACAAAATCCCTTGTGCTGTCATTTCACTAAAGTAAATTTGTTACTATTAATTAATATACATTTGATATATATGAAGGAAACAAAGTCAGAACTGGATGGTTGGGGGGGGGGAGGGGAGGAAGCTGAATTGAGGGTTTGCTGTGTCCACAGATCTGACCATAACAAAATGTGGTTTATGAATTTTTTTTCTTTAAACCTGCCTGAGCTTCCTTCAGTCATATATGGTTTAGCTTAGTGGGAAACAAAATTCGTGATAATATCTGTGGTGATGATGTCTATGTGAACATGACTTGCAAGGTGACTGTTGTTGCTTTTCTACCCTAGACATTTGGAAGAAAAGCGTGTAGAATGGTTAGAAGAAAAACACAAACTAATTCAACATGCCACAGAGATGGAGGAGAAATATAACCAGACAAGAGAAAAATTGCAAAGAGCAGCAGCTGCTCAGAAAAAGGCATGTGGCTCACAACTACTTTGAAGAAAGATTTTTTTTTTCATTTAGGGCTATCAGAACTATGCTTTTACACAAGGAATGGGTAGTTTCAACGAGTCTGTGGTCTCCTTGGCCCTGTATTGGAACTGACAGGCTGTGAGATCTGCCATGATTCTGCTGAGATTGGTTTGTGTAGAAAAGTAGGGTGCCTACAAGGGAATGTAAAAAGGTAAAATTAAAGGTTTCCCTGATGTTAAGTCTAGTGGTATCCGACTCTGGGGGGTGGTGCTCATCTCCATTTCTAAGACAAAGAGCCAGTGTTGTCCGTAGACACCTCCTAGGTCATGTGGCCAGCATGACTGCATTTATCTACTCATACTTGTATGTTTTCGAACTGCTAGGTTGGCAGAAGCTGGGGCTAACAGCAGGTGCTCACCCCGCTCACTGGATTTGAACCATCGACCTTTTGGTCAGCAAGTTCGGCAGCTCAGCTGTTTAACCCATGTGCCACCAGCCCCCCCTCCCCCGCAAGCATGTGTATCTTACGTATAAATAAGGTGTTGGGAGTTTGCATTTTGTTTAAGCAACAAAAAATATAGAGCTCTACCTTAGAAATGCTAACTGTCTTCCCAGCACAATTCCCAATTTATTGGCAAAAGCTATAGTCTTGAGGAGAAACAAATGGTTAAGAGATGGATGCTGTGTCTGGGCCTTATGTTGTTAGCTTCTATTCTGTACCTTAGTTCTCATTGCAAAGAATATCTTCATCACAGAAATGAAATACTCATTATTTATTACTACCACAGCTTAATGGTTTTAAGACACAAGAAATATAGACCAAATAATTACAATCAAGTGTAACTTTAAAAAACAGCTACATATTATAATGAATTAATAAAAATGCTCCAATATGGTCAAAGGTAGGTTATTTTTTATGTCTTGTATGTTACCACCTAATTTCATGTCAGTGAGAACAGTTTGGCAATAGAACCAACTGTCTGGAGAGGTTATATGGCCTCCTTCTCTGTATGTTTTCAAAATGAGTTTGGACACCTACTTGCTGTAGATGCTCTAGCTATAAATCCTGCATTGAGCAAGCTGTACCCCGAGCGCCCTTCAAATACTGTGGTTTTATAAACTTCTATCCTGTTGAGTAGGCATATGTGGCTAAATTTGGAGCATTTGACAGTTCTGCTGTAGCACAATGAGAAGACAGTTGTACACAGGAGTCAAATCAGTGTTTCTAACTGCATATATGTTGCATTGTTCACAGAGAAAGACTCTTAATGACAATAAGCAAAAGAAATTGATGAAGAAGATAGAACTTTTAGAAGCCAAGAGAGAAGAGCTGGAAACGGAAAACCAGGTGCTAAATAGGTATATGCAGACTTACTTTGTTTCAGAAATACAACTATTGTTAATATTATTGAAACATACTATCAATCCATAAATAAATTATTTGCAGTTTCATTTCGAGAAGTAGTGACGGAAGTGTCTGCTTGATTGAGGAAAGCAAAATTCTGTCCTAAAATATTTTGCTGAAATGCTCCCTGAAGTATTTTTATTGATTACTTTAGGCAGAATGTTCCTTTTGAAGAACACATTCGCCTTCAGAAAAGGCTGAAGGATTTGCAGCGGAGACATAATGAATTCCGGAGGTTAATTCTATTTCCCAACATTCCAGTTTTGAATCCCATCAGCCTGCTCTCATCCACTTTGATTCCTGGACCAGAAGCATCCTTTCCATTTCTGCAGGTAGGTGGCTCGTGAAAAGAAATGGTTTCATGTGGGTGCTCACAATAAATGAGATAGGCTTGCAGTAGTAGAACATAACTTAGTGGGTGTGTTTCTGTAAGATACAGGTAGAAGAATGTACACACAAAAAAAAGATCTACAAAGTAGAATGGCAAAAAAAATTAAACCACAGACTTTCTTCCTTAAGCAGAAAACTCATTACACTGATATTTGGATCCTAGCCCAATTAGTTAACCTCTTGGATTTCTGTGTTGCTTTAGTGAGTTCTTAGGAGGAATTCAAAGAATGCTCTCCCTAGCGAGATTACGTCAGCTCTATCTCTCCTCTCTTTTAGAAAAAAAGCTCAAAACATGGTTTTGGGACCAGGCCTTTGGGCAGTAGGTTTGGCAGTAATCATAATGTTGGAATTTTGACTATAACAGGCTTTGGACTGGGTCATCGGTTGCTAAATCAGACTTTGATTTGGCTACATGATGATAAAAATGTTTTAAATGTATTTTGATGTTTTATCTTTTGTATAATGTTGTATGTAATGTGCTGTATGTTGTCGGCATCAAATTGCTGCCGTTGTAAGCCGCCCTGAGTCCCACTTTGGGGGTTGAGAAGGACAGGATAGAAATGTTGGAAATAAATAAATTCTGACGAAGTCTTATGAAAGCTTATGCGGCCAGTTTCCTTCTCTCATTCAGTCTCTAAGGTTACTATGAGATCCCTTTCCATACTTTTAAGTGGAATTTATGTTATCTTTTGGTGTTCAGCTATACGTAAACCCTTTGATTTCTATAGCTGTAGCAAAACCAGTGTACTTGTACAATAGGCAAGATATCTGCAGCCTAAAATACATTTTAAGATGGAAGTCATTGCTACAGAATGTGTCCTTGCAACCTAATTACGTTTTCTTTATCCAGCCGGCCTCAATAGCCGAATCATTGCAATGTAATATTGAAATCCAGGAAGATAAAAACCCACCTGATAATTTTTTCCATAGTTAATGAAATTATTAAGTGCCCCCTTTTCTCGTATGGTTCAAGGAGGAGCAGCATCAGAGAGAGGTCTCCCTGCTCCGCAAGCGTCTGGAAGAACTAGAAACCTCCCAGAGAAAGCAGCTGCGAGAGCTTGCTCCCTCAACGGAAAATGCTCGGTCAGTAACGAGCAACGACTCTCACTCTGATAGAAATAAGCTTGTTGAAGAATATGAACTTCCATCTGGGGATGCCAAATAAAAATTTTAAAACTCCAGCTCTAGATATTTTCATCCTTTGCCAAACATGCTCACACTTATAAGTGCCTTGAAAAAGGTCTAATATATTTGCAGTCATTTTAAAATGTTTTTAATAAAAAATTTAAAAAACAGTCATTATAATTCAAGTAAGGTTACTGCAATGTGGAAACCATCTTATAGTTTTATATTATATGAGATAATCATGTTGCACTGAAAGCTTTTTTTTCTAACAAGACCTTCCTAAGCCTTAGATAAAGACCAGCTTTATGCACTTTAAAACAATATTGTGGAATGTCAAGAGGAATTGACGATGTAAATGAAGTAGAAATACTTACTTTTAACTTTATAAAGATGCTCATCTTTGTGTGTGGTGCAAAAAAAATTCATTTGTGAAATGATCAAATATGTTTATTATAATATATTTTTGTATTATCTGCCTTCTTGTTGTGTGTTTTATTGAAATACGGCAGCTGCAGGGGAAAGCACTTGTGGTGACTGGGTTTTTCTTTATGTCTGACTTTTTATTTGCTATTGTATTAATTGACAACATCATTTTCTTTTCACTTGTTCTTTTTTCTGCAGCCATATTAATATGCTTAGAGCAGCCTTTCTCAACTTCTTTGCAGCCCCCAAAGTTGCCCTGGAGCTCCAAGGTGCATCCTATTTTTTTTTTAAAGACTGGGCAATTTGTGTAACTCCCAATAGTTTAAGAATACTGCAGAATTTAACGATTTGGCCCAGGAAACCCACCCATCTGCATATGTAGAGAGCCAGTTTGAACTATAAGAGAGTGATGCAGCATCATTGGATGGACTGGGTTCAGTCAGCCATCCTGGCTGAGAGACATCAGAGTGTCTTGGAGATTACACGGACCAATCACTAAGACTCTCCTGTTTATTATACATTTATTGTGATTCTGCACACTCAAATTCCTAAACTAGAGAGATTGTTGTAGCTTTTTCAGTGGAGACAATTTGCCACACTAAACATTTTATCACCGACTTTTCCTGAAGAAAAATAAAGAGGGGAAAACCCCTGTATTTGTAAAATACATATTGACAAGCTCCTCCAATTTGCTTTATATTTACAAAGGCATTTTTTTCCTCAAAACAATACATAAATTTCACAGATACAGTTAGACTTGCCAATATGAGCAAGATCTTTATACTCCAGTATTGGAGAAAACAGAAAAATAAACAGACCCATTTTCTTCCTCATTCTTAAAACTATCCATTTAGATTTTCTAAATCACAAAATACTTGCAAGCCAACATCTTTTCCTAGAGAAAAATGGTAATGGCTTGATGCAGTTTGGCTTTTGTGTTGACACTTATCAGGTAATAGCGCTGTACTTCCTGGAAGAGTGATGTGACATGAATCAGGTATAATGTTTACATTACATGAGGTACCTGCAAACCTACATATAACACTTAAGGTAAGAATTTTACCCTTTGCGTAGTTTCCTTTTCAGATTTATAAATTATTTTTGCAAACACCTGTAGGCACAAGAAAGTAAAAATAGGAACACCATTCTTAGCTGTGAAAATAACATGGACAACATTTCTCTAAGACCAACACTGTGAAAAGGAATGTCTTTTGCCAGTTTGAAACTGACACTGTTTTGCACCTTGTTTTACAAGCTTCCCAGAGTCGGCTGCTCCTGAAGGTCTTGGCACAGGATACAGTCACCTGGGATAGATTTGTGCTTATGCAGCTCTTATAGCAAAGAACTAGGTCATAAAGGACACTGTTTAGGCAAATTGGCTTACACAACTTCTCTCTGGAAATGAACTGTGAGCAAGTTGCTTCATATACAGTTTTTTACTATGGCCCTTTTGTGAAAACAATAAAAAAGTGGTAAAAGTAGAGATAGTACTGTTTGAGTTTATACTTGCAATCTCGGAAACAATATCAAACCAGCAGAGTTCATTGTAAAGAAGTGCCTTTGTCTGCATATTTATAGCAGTGGTCCAATGTTTATCCAACTACTGGAATACGTCTTTTGACTGAGCTGGTTAAACGTTGAGTGCTCCAAGATCCGCAGGAGTAGAGACGGACAGGAGACCATTCGCAGGACAAGACTAGCAGTTTTAAGAGTCCTCCCAATACAGTTTGGAATGGGAACTACTACTTATGACCATTTGCATTTTTTCTTTTCTTCAACTAAACTTTTTATATGCAGAAGCTGTTGCTGAGCTTCTTCCAGCCCTCGTTCTTTCTCCAATTTATTCAGTATCTATGGAAACAAAGAAATGTGCGCTTACTTATTTTAACACATATTTTCAATGTCAAAGAATATCTATGTCAGAAAAAACTATTCTCTTTAATGCCAGGCTATTTATACATCTTGTTTTACAAGTCATCATCAATCACAGAAAGAATAACACTTTGGCTGTCAAGAGCAACCTTAATTAAAAACCACAAATACAGGCCCAGTGGCAGTTGCTTATTATAAAACAGCAATAGCAGTTTCAATGGTCACAAAAATGAAGACTTTCAATGTAGAGAAACAATCTCCACATTGACATACCAATAGCTGAGCAGAAACTTGTACCTGTCAAATGGCACATCACTTGTTCCCTATTTTAATTACACACAATCTAAAACATTACAGCAGTCAGACTGAACTGAAACAATAGAACTTGACTTGAAGTTCCTTTTAAATTGAGATCACTCACACTCAGAGGGTTGAGATTGATAGAGGATGAGATTGACAAATGTGTAATGGAGACCAAGTAGTATCTTATAGACAATTGCTTTGCAGAACAAAAATTATATTGTATATAATTTGAGTCCCTTCGGGAGAGATAAAGCGGGGTATTAATAATTGTGGTTATTATTATTTGTGTGATAACTCCAAAAATGCACAGTTTCCAGCAAAACCAAATCCCAACCAAAATACATCTACACAACAAAGTGCAATAGCACTGAGCAAAAAAAAAGCCCCCCAAAAAACCATTTTATGCCAAGTTATTGAGTCAAAACAAGCCAATGCATTCAGAGGCTTTACTGTCATTGTCTTTTATAGACACCAGATCTTGCATATTATTTAACAGGATAAATCAAAGGAAAATAAGGAAAAGACTTACTTCATCAAGGTATTTTGCAATGTATTGGTAAATTTTCATCAAGGCTGCAGCCTCACTAAATTCATTTTCATGTTTCTGGGGAAAGAAGGCAAAATAAGTCACATCTGCAGATAACTTTTAGCATTAATAACGCATTAATAACATATTAAGCTACACTAATACTGAAAGGGAGGAGAGCTGAGAGGGTAAGTTTCAAAGGCCACAACAAAAAAAAAACTGAACTATACCTTTGATTCCTGAGTTAAAAAGTCTTCTATCTCTGAAGTGGATAAGGGAGGCAAATCCTTTATTGCTTTGTAGAAAGCTTTAACCTCTTCTTTGTAACGTGGGATATCCTTAGCATAGAGGAGTTTATTTGTTGGTGCTTCCTTCAAAATACATCACAACAATGATTAACATCTTTAAAAAATATATTTACAACAGAAAGAATTAGGGAAGTTTGCAATGCCAAACAATACTAATCACTACAATAAGTTAAAATATATAACAAAATAGGGCAATGACATTAAAAGATTTTAAGATCCTGGTAGAAAGCAAAGGTATTGTCTAGTACAGTAGAGTCTCATTTATCCAACATAAACGGGCCAGCAGAACGTTGGATAAGCAAAAACATTGGATAATAAGGTGGGATTAAGGAAAAGGATATTAAATGTCAAATTACGTTATGGCTTTACAAATTAAGCACCAAAACATCATGTTTTACAACAAATTGGCAGAAAAAGCAGTTCAATACACAGTAACGCTATGTAGTAATTACTGTATTTACGAATTTAGCACTAAAACACAGCAATGTATTGAAATAGTTATGGATCCAGGTGGGAGGCAGACTGCATGGGATAATACAAAACGCTGAATGAGCGAAGGTTGGATAAGCAAAACTCTACTGTAATGACCCATAGGTTGAAGCATTACTAGGGTTGTGTCACCAAGACATTTGCCAGGGCTAAGTCAACATATCCTTGCAGCCAAATGCGTGCACTTCTTGGAATATCTTTAATGTGTTTTCCACAAAATTCTGTACAGTAAAAAAGCAGGTTTTTCTGATTTTAGTTAAAACTTCAAAATGTTTAATGCTATAATGTGTAACCTTTAGCATCTGCATTGAACTATGGCTTAAACCTCAGATACATTTCACTTTTTAGAAGTTTTCGTAACCTCTAGAACATGCCTCTAGAACAAGGCCATATAGACCGGAAAAACCTACAACAACCCAGTGATTCCGGCCATGAAAGCCTTCGACAATACAGTTTCCTTAACCATTAACACTTGGTTTTCCTAAACTTCAAAGTGTATGGCAAGTGCACCACTTATGTGATGCTGTTTACTCATATTTTTAAAGACACTGTAAAATAAGAAATCGATCTCACCAAATAACCCAAAAATTGTCCCTTGAACGATCTCTCTATGCTAATCAGAGAGAAGTAAGACAAACAACATGAACTCTACACGGTGGGCAACTTTCTCAAACTATTGACCATGCAGTAGTGAAGTGAGGCATGTTGTTTAAACAACAAGGTGCAAGCTCTTTTATTCTACAGAACATTGTTTTCTGGGGATGAAACTAATCTCACAAAGGCCTTGGACATGGAAGCCTAGAGATGGAAATCCTAGCTAGAGCATGTTTTCTGTGGGATTAAAATCTTTAGATTACTGTACTTGGGAATGGTCTGAAGTAAAACAATTGGTTTCAACAGTAATATTACTGTGGAGCAGTACACTTGAGCTCATAGCTAAGGGTGAGATGTTTTCAAAGATAAAATTGATAGACTACCTTTCCTAGCTGTTGTTCTGACAGAGAAAAGGAGTCCATAAAAGCTTGTGCAATTACTGACAGACAGCCATCCATATGAGGAGTCTTTTTAATATCGAAAACAAATTGAGGATTCTTCAATATATTCACCCAGAACCGCAGAGGAAGACTAGTTAAAGGAAAAGGAAATGGAAAAGCAAGATAAACAAAGGGCACTCCAAATGTTGCTATTACACAATGTAACACAATTTTTGAACTTGGGTTATAAATATCATTTCCTAATTGGTTCTATCATATAAAACATGGAAAAGATTTATTAAGCTGTAAAAACTTTGTTTTGAAAAGTTTAAAACTGCATATTTTCATTAAGGAAAATTACAGACTTGAGTTTCAGATAACAGAAAGATAAAAAAACAAAAACAAAGTTTCTGGAGTATAACAACTACTTTCAAAGTACCGCACAATTGAACAGGAAATAACACTTTCAAACCAGAAAGAGAAAATTTTCCAAATTTTATTACATAGCGTCATTCATGCAAGTTGCAGTCGAATACTCAACAATACTCAAATAAAAATAATTATATTAGTTTATGCTATACATATTTCCAGTGTGTTTTGCAGTGCTGAACAAACTGCCCATACAGACTTGTATATTGTGAAGGTAAGATGCATAAAGGTGTACCTGTTAGTTTTCCATATATGGACTACATCAGGATCTGTAATCTTTTTGTTTTCAGCCTGAGCATCCAAAAAGTCAAAAAAATATTTAATAGCAACTGGAGCTCTATTGTTAGGCAAAGTCCAAATGCTTTTGAAGAGTTTCTCAACAACTGAGTGAACTGCAATCTGAGAAAGAGGAGAATGGCTGCATTAATCATTACTTCTATACAGACAAAAGTTTTAAATGTTTCATTTAGTTGTAAGCTAAGAAAATAACCCCTCAATTTATTAGTGGCATTTTGCACGCCAAGAATCAAATCTAGGACAATCCAACCACCCTAACACATGAAAACACCTAGAATCCAGAATGTCATACAGAATATGTTTTATTATTTCTGTGATTACTAATATTATGACTAAACTAATGTTTGAACCATACTTCAAGTTTGTATAAACACCTCCCTTCAATCAATTTTGTGTATGTCTCCAAGTTGTTTTGGCAAACTTCTCACAAGGTTGTTTTGGCTAGATTTTTTTTCAGAATTTTTTTTTGTTGCCTCTGAACCTGAGAGTGTGACTTGCCAAAAGTTATCCAGTGGGTTTGCATGGCTGGGTGGGATTTGAACCCTGGTCTCCTGAGTCATCCAGTGTTCCAACCACAACGCCATCCTTGATCTTATTTCAATCAACATGACTATAGCAGGTAGACTATCATGCCTCTGCCTGCAGTTCTATAACATTCTGGATTTTTAAGGGTAGCTCTTTCTATACTTTTTTTTTCTCCCATGTAAATGTACTGAGAAGCCTACTGAGAAAATACTCTTGTGTCAACAGAAAATACATGAACACTCCAAATGGCTGTGATCTATTACATCCTAGTGTATTCAGTGATATCCATTTTGAATGGCATAGAATTTTGGATCTCTTAGACTAGATTTAAAAAATAATGCTTTTCAAACATCAGCTACAATTACCCAATGATTACCCAATTCAAGACTTACCTTTGTAGATAAGAGTTTGGTGAGATACATTTCCTTCACTTTAAATTTTTGTTTGCCTTTATGTTTTGTGCCTTGTACGTCTTTGACTGCTTCTGAGTCTGGCAGTATCTATTAAAATGTTTACACAAATTAGACATGGAACTACGATGGTTTAGGAGAGACAGACTAAAGGAATGACAAATTGTGATGTATTTGTGACTTACTAGGTGGCAATAGGCATCCGAGTATTCCCCATCTGAGCAACCTGTTAAAAGGAAGGGGGAAAGTGAAATGGAAAAGATAAAGTAAAATAAGTTGCTACCTAGAGACCAGGCTCACACCAGGAGGAAATATGGCCAGATTTGATTACATTCACACGTAATGTACTCAGATACTGTAATTCCCATCAATCAAGCTATCCAGTAATGCAAATATACTACTAAAAACATCAGCATTACTGGTTTTACTCCTCCTTTCTTTAACCAATGCTAGATAAGCTCCTTCTTTGGAGGCTTTTAAACAGAGGCTGGATTGCCATCTGTTGGGAGTGCTTTGAATGTGATTTTCCTGCTTCTTGGACAGAGGATTGGACTGGATGGCCCCCAAGGCCTCTTCCAACTCTATGATTCTATAATAGCTTAAACCAGAGCATAAGGAAACAGGATAGTATTTTAACTTTAAATGTCTAATAATTAAATTTTCCTACATGCCTCCTATTCTGACCTATATTTAGAGTTAGGATGTTTTCAAATTCCATACATTGGGAACCAAGAAGGGGTTCCTGCTGTCATGATTTGCATGCAAGCTTTTCTTTTAAATATCTTATTTCCTCCTACTGTTACATCATTTATTTTGATGTATTAAGAGCTCTTATCCCATCCTTAAGCTTCTGGTTTTATCAATTGCAATAGTGGACACATATTTCCCATTCATGGAACTGTTGTCTTAAAACTACAGTTCAACTGGTCCACTGTGAACTCAAATTTCTATGAAGCCATAACAGACACATAACATTGCTTCAGCACCTGAGAGAACTGTTTTTTCCTTCTTAAAGACGTTAATAGTTGCTCCATTGGAAATCTGAAAATGCAGTAAAACAGCTTCCTGTTAAGAATATAGTGTTCTAAGAAACATGCATGAAAATTATGTAGCAGAATAACAATATGAATTGTAATCACAGTCCTGTTCTAGACAATTTGTCAGGGAGGATCACATATGAGGGATGTTCGTTAAAGATTTCCCCTGACCCACTTCTGTTTATCATTGGGCGCTGAAACTGCACTTGTGTAATGCTATAAGTCTCTATAGGTTACGACTCAATTTACAATTTACAACTCAGAACTGATAACGGTCTTGATTTTACACATGCTGAAGTGGTGTGAGATTTGATCATGGACCCAGTGGAATACAGAGCAGTCATCAAGTTCTTTTACTTGAAAGGCCACACACCAAGGAGACATTCAATGAGATAGAAAAGGTTTATGGTGATGATTCGTCATCATATGATGTAGTCAAGAACTGGCATCATCAATTCAAATGTAGAAACAGGTCCAATTCCAGGGTGACCCCACTCGGCTATTGATGAACACACCATCCAGCAAGTGGAGGTCTCCATTTTGAAAAATCACCATGTGACCATTTGCCACCTAGCCCAAAATGTCAAGTTTAGTGTGGGGTCCATGGAAAAAATCCATCTTCACATGCATAAGGTATTCACTCACTGGGTACCCCGGCTGCTCACACCTTTCCAGAAGCAGGAACGAGTTGAATGCTCTCAGGCTCTGTTGACAATGTGCCATGGAAAGCAGGAGGACTTTTTCAACAGACCAATCACAAAGGACGAAAGCTGGGTCTATCACTATGATCCTGAAACTAAAGTCCAGTTGATGCAATGGAAGCATCATGACTCACTGTCTCCAAAGAAGGCACATGTCCAACTCTTGGCAGGCAAGGTCATGCTCACAGTATTTTGGGACCAGCACAGATTTCCTAGCAAAGGGTACCATGATCACTGGAGCATACTATGCTTCACTGCTGCAGAAATTGGAGGTGGCCATCAAAACCAAGAGACGTGGCATGCTCACCAAAGATGTCAGTCTTCTGCAAGACAATGCACCAGTTCACAACTCGCATTTTGCCCAAATGGAAGCATGCTCCTTTGGCTTTGAAATTCTACCACATTCCCCTTATTAACCCGACTTCACACCATTGGACTTCCATCTCTTTCCAACAATGAAATTATTTTTGGAGGGCAAGCATTTTTCAGACATTGTGACTTCTGATTTCCAAAGTCACAACGTAGCTTTTGGAACAACCTGTCAACTTCTAGAAGTGAGATGTTTACAGTTGTTTAAAAAGATGGGAGAAATGTGTGCCCCTAGGTAGCACCTATGTAGAGAAGGACTAATAACTGTGCCAAGTTTCATTGCTCTCAGTCCACAGGAAGTGGGTCAGGGGAAATCTTTAATGAAAAATTGTACTTAAAAAAAGTATAACATGAAAATTGGACACATCTGATTGGCCAGTCCACAGAGAGCCAAAGTTAATAATTTGTGAAAAAAACAAACTAAAAACTAAACCTCATACCATGAAATTAAATAGTGTAAAAGTATACAAAAACAATGAAGTTAAACATGGCACATTTATTCCTTAAAATAACTCCTTGCAACCAATTAATCACTAAATGTCAGCATGCATAGAAAGGCTTGACAGCAAAATGGGGGAAATGCCATTTAGCCTGCAGGCAGACTCTTTCTCACCTATGGTCATTTTGCAATTGAAACAGCCTGAGGAAGAAATACATCCATTTGTCTATGTTACTAGCATCATTTGTCTTTTTCAAGTTTTCAAAACCAACCAAAATCATTTGAAAACTGTGAATGAATATGGAAACATTTCAACAGTTTTATAGAGGTGCCGAAGATCCCTGACTTTTCAACTTTTATACACTGCTGTTCAAAACATAATTCCTTTTAAGATCTGCTGGTTGACGAATGAAGCCAAAGCTACTCCAGCTGAGCACTGTAATATTTAGTAGTGACTACTAGGGATTTTCCAAGTGTTGGCACAGCTTGCTCTTCAACGACTGAAATAGGATAGGACACCAGCCAAAGCGAGGAACAGCAGATAAGCATTTTAGTGTATGGCAGCCAGCCAAGAACAAAACAAGTTTGCTGCTGAATCATTTTTATAGAAAGCTTGCCCCTAAGCCAAAAATATCTTCCAGTTGCACTAAAAGGAAAGAAATCCAAGAAAGCACAGATCTGGGTCCGCTAATGAATATGTGGTGGTCTGAAACAGGAAGCGTACAAAAATGGAAACGAGAATACACAAAGCTGCTCTTTACCACCAGACCACTTGCTCTTTGAGCCAAGAATTGCTTCTTCTGATTGGTAGGTTGTTCCAGTTCTCAAGCAGATGTTTCTTCCAGACCTGATGCTGAAAGTGAGTCCTTTTAAAAAGAAGATGGTAGTGGATGGCCCTGGGACCCCACATACACCGATCATAATAAGCTCTTAACAGTGAACACTGAAGCTTTCCCCAGATGTCAGGAGATGAATACACAGAAGTAGCAGGCAGAGATAGTAAAGGAAAAAAAGGCATAGTGAGGCAAAATACACAAGGGTAATATTTGAAAGACAAGAGGGAGTGTTTTATTGGGAAAATGTCTTATCTTAAAAAGCCAATTAAATTAACTTTTGTGTATTACAAAATGTGCTACTTCATTGAAAAACTAAAATGGAGCATACAATTACATTTTGATAAGTATAACAATCTGACTTTGCAAATATGGTAAAATTTTTGCCATGTTTAAACACTGTAAACATTTGAGCATCTAAGTGAATGCAGTTCTAGCATTCACCTGGCTATTTCTAAAGCAGTTGCAATTAGAACTTCAATACTATATGTACTTATTAGTATTTACATGTGACTTGACTTACTTTTGAATAACATTGTTTGAATTGTGCTGCACATATTTTTGGGAAAAAATGGAATCTTACTGCTTTCCTTGTTTAAATTTGTTTAAGTTTGAACACATCATCCAAGTTAAATAAACTAAGCTAAATTTGGGACACAAAACTTCTCTTTTTTCTAATTTTTATTCACAAACTAATGCTAATTATGTGTGTGTGTGTGTGTGTGTGTGTGTGTGAAAATAAGTAATTACTGACTTCCTTTCATTCAAGTGTGATGGAAATGTCCCATATAGTTTAAGCTCTATAATGTGTGGGGGGTTGATATAGGGCTGCTCTTGGAGGAAGGAAAAAAAGATAGAATGATGCCCTTATTGGATCAGTCTAGTAAATCTGGATTCAACCTATTATATCTGTGATAGACTTTTCTTTACAAAGTAAAATCTTCAACATATTAAGTTTTGCTGTTACCTCATAATGGCCTATGGTGTTCAGTTTGGTAATCCCATCTTCCAGAGTCACAGAGGAACTGTCTACATCTAGAAGCTCTTTTGTATATGAACCTGACTGAAGAGCTGCAAAAAACAATTACATGGGAAAATATACATAAGTCTCCAGCTTTGTGAAAGGGATGCATTAAAACACGTATGTTGTGTAAAGGAAATGAAGCAAGTTGTGACTGCACCCACTCCTCATGTCATGTGTCATACACTTCGACTCCATAGGAATCCAGAATCCCCCTGCTACAAGGTGTATTGCCTCCAAAGCATTACTCATCCTAAGAGTGCCCGCTGCCTTCTAATACAAGCTTCTGATAGGGTAAATTCTTCTGAGCAACATCCAGGAGCACCAACCTTTTCACCATCAGTCACCAGAAGAAAGATACCATGAAAGATACCATGAAAGATACCATATGATACCAAGATATCATATGTAAGTAGGGAGGAGGGAAGTTTTGGGTCCAAAATTGTGGATTTTTATTTGACCAGTTGCTTAGTCAAGGGTCATTCGGAAGAGCGGAGGAAGCACCAATGATTCAAGGAGCCCGCCACCTCTGATAGCAGCTGACATTAGCCTGCTTGGGCATTCAAAAAGGCCAGAAATGGCACCATGGTGGGGAAAGAAGAAGGGGTTGATGCTTCCTTTAGGTTATCCCAGGACAGACTAAGCTTTTGCCTTTCACCACTCTACTCAGAGAAGGGGGTGGTTCTTCCTTTTTCTTTCTTTCTTTTTTTTCTGAGACAAGTTAAGATACAGTATTCACACTGACCCATGGATACGTTTTCTGGGTTGATTTTTTGGCTAGAATTTCTGGAGTCTATAAGGCGAATCTGTGTAGGATCAGCATCTTCCCACTATCAAGACTCTGGAGGATTAGGCTCTTGGAGTCTATGATGATCCAGTCCTCAAATCACTCAACTGCACTGAGGCAGGAAGTATGACAGAGAGGCTCTTTGTGAAACAAAAGCTTCCCTTCCAAGCACATTTAAATGATTATGAGCACAGTTACTAAATTCGAATAAAACATCTAGAGCCAGCAAAGCCTGAAACATACATGTAACACTGTTAACACAATGTTTTTATTGTCTGGTTCTGATCTTTATAGTACCCTAATAGTGTTTCCTAAGCTATCTGATGTAGGAGATCGTCAGTCATTTCCTAAAACGTGCCAGGGACCAGTTCCTATTTGTGCTCATTGCCTAGTATTATTTCTTTAGTTCCTGGAAACTTAGAAAGGACTGGCAGCTGATCTGTTTTGGACTGGCACTGCTCCCTAGAGCACCACTTTGGATAGCACTGCTCTAAATAATCCACAAAGATATTAGAATAAATTATTCTCAATAGTTTTCACTCTTCATCTCTTAACAGCAAACTGAGAAATATTCATTTGTGGCTTTTAGAAGCTCCAAATACATTATTTAAAGCAGCTACTGTTCTAAGTGAAATTAAAGCAAAGCAATGACTAATTGCAACATTATGGCAAATAGCTTACCAAGGCCCATTTCACTGAGCTGGAGACCATAAAGAGAGCCATTCTTGCTTAGAAATGCTTGGAGAATCTTCTCTTTAGCTTGTCCTATTGTGTCACAATCCAAGACATCGACTTCAATGTTCTTGGTAAAGCCTTCACTTTCGTTTTCTTGGACATTTTCAAAAACAACATTTAGAATCTAAGAAAGAAAAACACATGCTGATTCACTTTAATTTGAAAACCAGAGTCAGGCATACATTTATGCAGCCCATTAAGATCCTTAAGGGCAAGCCTTACAACAGATCATTCACATACAGCCAAGACATAGATATGCACTAAGATCTTATAAATCCATGTCTATCTCCCCGGGCGTCTCAGGGTGGTTTCCATGTTGCTTAGAAACCCCCCTGAATCCCCCGGGGAGATAGAACGGTGTATAAATAAGTTTTATTTATAAGTCTAGTCAGACCTGAAATGCAATACATGGGGTTTTTTTTCCACTCTATCAGCCCACTGTAGCTCACAAGGCATGCTGCAAGTCGCTTCTGGTGTGAGAGAACCAGCCATGATACCAGATGAGAGACTTCCCCCTGGGTACACAGAAGGCTGGGCAACTTGGAAGGCACTGAACAGACTGAGCTCTGGCCCCACAAGATGCAAAAGCAATCTTAAGAAATGGGGCCACAAAGTGGAGTCCATGACATGCGAGGGTGGAGAAGAGCAAACCACAGACCACTTACTACAGTGCGGCCTGAGCCCTGCCACATGCACAATGGAGGACCTTCTTACAGCGACATCAGAAGCACTCCAAGTGGCCAGCTACTGGTCAAAGGACATTTAGTATAATGCCAGGTTTTTAAACTTTGTTTGTGTTTTTCAATACATTATAAATGTACCCTCAATTCACTTCTGACATGATAAAAAAATAAGCTCACAAGGTTGTTGGGTGATACATAATTAAGGAATGTATGGAATGTCATTTAAGGAAAATTTACTTTTGGAATAATGTTTATTGAAATAAGTTCTGTTTAGCAAAGTTTTTTGTTGATTGTTGGGATGTATCAAAATAAAAAAGAGGGAAAAAAACAAGGCTGTTGAGAAGACAGAAGGAAAGCTATGTCTGCTAACTTGATCTCACTAGGGGATAGGCAGGATAGCAACCAACAAAATAATACATATTCTTAATATTCTCACTTCTCATATTTACTACCTGCTAAGACAGAGACTGTATATGAGCCAAAGTTAATAAGAACTCACATTGATGGACAGGCTGGGAAGTTTTAGCCAGTTAGTAATTTATTTCAATCATAACCTTACATCACAGTGGAGCGTTGCCTCCCCTTTCTCCATATCTACCGGCTATATGATACTCAATAGCGGGAAATTTTACTTTAAACGTATGTGACCTACGAAGTATATTAATAAAATTATATTTCAACAAACTCACTCATAATCAGTTGTTGAATCAACTGACCATAACTAACCTTTCCTTCCAGTAAGTTACAAGAAAAGAGGAAGAGAAAACTCTTGTCACATGAAGTGGGAGAGATGTTATCAGCAAAAACTGTGTGGGCTTGTTTCCTGTCTTATTGCTACTTCAATGTTTTCGTTTTTTGGGTATATGCAAGGGTCTGAATTGTTACACTGTATCAGAACAATGATGAACCCAAGTATGGAGTATGAAAACTACTTTGGTTGGGTCCATGGTAGGAAATGTAGTTAGATGAGTGTCTGTCTTAGCTTTCTGCATCCTGATGCCCTGCAACTATTTTGGACTTCAATTCTAAAAAGCCCCAAATTGCATGGGAAATAGCCAGAACAGCTAACAATTGTACTTCCAAACATCTGAAGCTTACAAAAGATTATGTACATATTCCATATGCACTTGAATTTCCTTCAAAAAAACTTGGATATGTAGGAACTGGACCACACATAAGCTGAAATGTAGAATTAAACTGCCCATTTCATTCAATTTCCATGTGTTTGGCTTTTTCTGAAACAGTATTGCCACAACAGAGTTTCCAATAGTCAGAAACATAGCTTAAGAGCCAAAGCAGAATAACTAAATTTATGCAAATGACTTTCGCTTGCAAGCTTCTCTTTAGGTTTTCTTGGCATTTTATTTTTAGTCACAGAACCCATAGACTAAAATGCAGTTATGGTGGTCGTAGTGCAATTCATTGTGCAAAGCAGCGATTCTCAACCTGAGTGTCGGGACTCCTGGGGAAGGTATGAGGGGGTGTCAGAGGGGTCACCAAAGACCATGAGAAAACATGGTCTTCAGAATGCTCTTTGACTGTAGGTGAACTATAAATCCCAGCAACTACAACTCCCAAATGTCAAGGTATGTGTTCCTCAAACTCCACCAGTGTTCACATTTGGGCATATTGAGCATTCGTGCCAAGTTTGGTCCAGATTTATCATTGTTTGAGTCCACAGTGCTCTCTGAATGAAGGTGAACTACAACTCCAAAACTCAAGATCAATGGCCACCAAACCCTTCCAGTATTTTCTGTTGGTCATGGGAGTTCTGTGTGCCAAGTTTGGTTCAATTCCATTGTTGGTGGAGTTCAGAATGCTCTTTGATTGAAGGTGAATTATAAATCCCAGCAACTACAACTCTCAAATGACAAAATCAACCCCCCCCCAACCCCACCAGTATTCAAATTTGGGTGTATCAGGTATTTATACCAAATTTGGACCTGTGAATGAAAACACATCCTGCATATCAGATATTTAGATTACAAGTCATAACAGTAGGAAAATTACAGTTATGAAGTAGCAACAAAAATAATTTTATGGTTGAGGGTCACAACAACATGAGGAACTGTATTAAGGGGTCACAGAATTAGGAAATTGAGAAACACTGCCATAGACTATGATATCCAACTCCTTAAGCATAAAGCTAACCATGGAACACAGATTAGGAAACTTACCACTGTTTTAAAATCAGTGACTTGCCAGAGTAACCAATCTTCATTTAGTGTGTTCAGGGCCTTACAAGTTATCACATCCACGGGACCCTTGATTATCCCTTGGTTTAGAGTAGTCACAAGCAAATAGAATGTTTCCCCAACTGTTTCCTAAGAAACAAAATGAAACCAATACAATAACCCATGTTGTTTAATCATTTTAATGTGTATTAGTTGTCAAAGAGAAACAACATGGAAAACTGCTCCAAACATTATTTAGTAAATTGTCATGGTCAAAGCTTGTTTCAAGTAATATTCATTTCCAGATAGGGAAATCCACACATATATTCACTTCCAGATAGGGAAATCCCTTATATGCATATCTGGTATATGTGAAAGAGAAACATTCAATTTAATGTAGCATTCAACCACATATATATGTATCAAAACAGACACATGTGCAATCATCATAACCTATGACCTACCCACAATTTCACATTTTTCCTAAGATGAAATGCTTTCTGCAGGAAATATTTGGAAAGGTGGACTTCAAGTTTCTAGAACAGCATGATTCATATAATCACTGGCAACCTATGGTCCAAATTGAAGAGGAGGAATTGATTCTGCCAAAGCAAGAGTGGAAACCACTGTTGCTCAGACCATAAAGTACTGAAACTTATACTGACTCATCTCTTCAATGAAATATCTCTAATTGCTCAGATCCAGGCTTCCCATTTATTTCACAAACTTTAGGAAATGGTGCAAAAGCTGACTGTGTTGAACTGATGCAAATGGTCCCAACAGAGGACTTTGCATTTGAATAGCTAACTCATGAAGCTCACAAAAATAACCCTATGTTTTACTCTTCACTCTTTAGTATTGAAAAAGTATTATACTTGCCCGAAGAAAACTAGAAAGGCAAACAGACATCCAATTTGTCAGCAGCTTTTCCACCACAGATTCTGTACGCCTTAGCAACAGCTTGGGTTGTATATTGCTAGACTGGTCCATCAAATCTCTTGTCAAAAGTTCCAGGATATCAGTTAAGTACACAAGGTTTGTTTGTAATGCAATTGTCAAGAAAGAGGCAAATAGGCATCTGTTTATGGAGAAAACAATACATGTAAAAGTCCCCGCCAAAAAAACAGACAAGGAGAGATACAATACAATTAGCAGTACATCATCCCATCAGCACAGTGTAAATGTCCATATGCGCAGTTACACTATGTAAAACTATATGCCCCCCCCTCCTTATTGTAAGGATCCAAAGCTATTTTTGATGGCCATTCCATGCTTGATTGCGAAAGGCAGAATTGAAGATCTCAAATGAGAGAAACACCGGCTGGAACTTACATAAGAGGGAAATTAAGAAAGACTTCTTGCATAAGTCACTGAAGGATATAATATACAAGAGTTATCCAGAAAGGTTACAAGATCTTTTTTAATACAAAGAATGAATATATTTTAATAAAACTTACATGGATTGTAGCATAGGCATTACATTATTTTTCCACATAATCTCCATTCAGTTCAATAAATTTTTGTCATCTGCGGGACAAATGTGGAAGGGCAACTTCTATGCCTGTGTCATAAAAATTGTCCTCTGCATTTTTCAGGCAGTTCATCACTTCGATTTTCACCTCGTCATCGGAAAAGTGTTTTTCACCAAGGTGTTCCTTCAGTTTAGTCACTGGGTGCGAGATTGGGGCTGTGAGAGGGGCGGCTTAAAACATCCCAACTAAATGAAGTAAACAACTCTTTGTGTTGCATGAACAGTGTGCGGGTGCACATTGTTAAGGAGACAGACTCTTGCTGTCAGCATCCCACAACATTTGTTTTGGATGGCTTTGCGAAGTTTCTTCATGTTCTCACAATATATTCCATACACACTTTGTCACATGCTGTCCTGGCATTACATCCTCTCCATAAACTGAAATGATTTCACAATGAATCGCAGGGGTGTTCATGCCCTTAGCATTTAGGTAGCGTATCACAGTGCAAACTTCGCATTTGGAAGGAAACGGAATGAGGACGCTCATCTGTAACCTTCACAAGACCAGTCGATGAGCTACTGATGGCTGGCACTGTTCGTTCGCTTCCGCTGGCTTCCCACTACATGGCAGTGATACCAACTTCTCTTGCGAAAATTCCTTGCGAGAGCTACATGCCTTGTAATCTTACTTTCCAGATAAGCCTTGTATATGAACAATACAGCTGAGGCCATTTTAATCACCTGATATTTTATAAAACACGGGATGGGGTGAACTCCCATTGTTAGCCCCAGCTTCTGCCAACATTTCAAAAACATGCAAATGTGAGTAGATCAATAGGTACCGCTTCGGCGGGAAGATAATGGCACTCCATGTAGTCATGCCAGCCATATGACTTATGAGGTGCCTACGGACAACGCTGGCTCTTTGGCTTAGAAATGGAGGTGAGCACCATCCCCCAGAGCTGGACTCAACTCGATGTCAAGGGGAAACCTTTACCTTTATATATTTTATTCCTATGCATTATTTAAGGGAGTGCCAAGTTGTTGTTGTTTTTTTTTTAAAAAAAGAACAATGGGGACATACATTTTGGATAAATATTCTCGGATTTAGCCATTTCTACTTGAAAAAAAAAATATTTTTATATCATACCTGTCTTTAACAGAGAAGGTTTTCTGTTTTTCCAGAGTGTGAATCAAAGTAACCAGAAATTTTTTGTTACAAATCAACTTTGACAATTTTATAGTGATTTCATCCTTTTGACCTGGACTTCTTCTCTATAAAGATTGAAAAGACATTGATTATCTCTGTATGTTTGGTTTTAAAGTAATGCACATTGAATTTACTACTTCTGCAATTATCATCTTTGGAAATGGAGCTGTGGTGGTGTAATGGGTTAAACCCTTGTGCTGCTGAACTGCTGACCTGAAGGTTGGTAGTTCGAATCCACTGGATGGGATGAGCTCCTGCTGTTAGCCTTAGCTTCTGCCAATCTAGCAGTTTGAAAGCATGCAAATGTGAGTAGATAAATAGGTACCGCTTCATCAGGAAAAGACAAAAGATGCTCCAAGCAGTCATGCTGGCCACATGACCAGGAGATGACAACGCAGGCTCCTCGGCTTGAAAATGGAAAAAAGCACATCCCCCAAGAGCCAGAGATGAGCACCGCCTCCAGAGCCAGAAATGAAAGGAGAAGCCTTTTGCCTTTGCCTGTGTATGCGTGTCTCATTGTATTGTGACAAGGCATTCAATGTTTGCTTGTTTCTGTTTATATGCTGTAATTTGCTTTGAGTCCCTTCGGGGAGAAGGGTAGAATATAAATAAAGTGTATTATTATTATTATTATTATTATTATTATTATTATCATCATCATATCTAGACTAAATGCTCCAGTTCGTGTTTAATACCTATTACTGTCTTTTAAATGATATTTTTTCAAATCTACTGCACTGCTTGTATGAAGGCAGAAATTAACCGTATACAGTACACAGTACATCTTTTGCTTCCTTACGTCAATAATTTAAAGGCACACAGGATGTATCATCTAATTTCCAAATATTATAATGTATTCAGATTTTTGTTTTTAAGCTAGATGAATGTGTGTATGCCTTAAAGTCAACTTGCCACTTATGGCAAACACATGAATTTCTTAGGCTTTTCTAAGGCAGAAAATACTCAGAGGTGGTTTTGCCAGTGCCTTCCTCTGAAACGTAGCCTACAGCACTTGCTATTTAGTTGGCCATCTTCCAACCCTGTTTAGCTTCCAATCTAATTAAACTAACCTAATAAAACCACAATTTATTATTAAATTACATCACTTAGATGAATCTCTGGAAGCCAAGCTCTATGAGGATTAGTTAAGGGAGCTGGGTTTGTTAAACTTGATGAACAAAAAATTGGGACATGACATGATAGCTATGTTTAAACATTTGAAAGAACGTCACATTGAGAGGGCAAGCTTATTTTCTGCTGCTCTGGAGCAATGGGGCTATATTGCAGGAAAAGATATTCCAACTAAACATTAAAAATAACTTCTTGATGGTGTTGAACAGTGGAATGCGCTGCCTCAGGGTGTGGTAGAGTTTCATTCTCAGATGTTTGTAAACAGATGCTGTATGGCCATCTGTCAGGAGTGCTTTACTTATTTATTTATTTCATGCATTTCTACCCTGCCCTTCTCCCCCCTAAGGGAATACCCAAGCTTTGCTTGGGTATCCTCTGCATGGCAGAGGTTTGGACGGAATAACCTGTTTGGGTCTCTTCCAACTCCATGATTTTATAACTAGCCGGTGGCGGCACAGCAAGCTAAAATGTTAGCTGCAGAAAAGGCTGCTGACTGGAGGGTAAGCAGTTTGAAGCTGCGAGTCAGGGTGAGCTCCTGACTGTCAGCTCTAGCTTCTGCCAACCTAGCAGTTCGAAAGCATGCAATGCAAGTAGATCAACAGTACCATCTTGGCGGGAAGGTAAAAGGGCACCCCATTCAGACATGCAGACATGCTAGCAACATGATTGGAGATGTCTATAGATAGTAGGCTCCTCAGCAGGGAAAAATGGAACAAGAACACCTCCCCATGGCTGGAGTTGAGCGTCACCTCCAGACTCCGGAGATGAAAAGGGTAAGGCCTTTACCTTGTTTGTGTACTGTATGTCGTTTTTCATTGTGTAAAAAGGCATTGAATGTTTGCATTATATGTATACTGTAATCTGCTTTGAATCCCACCGGGGAGATAAAGCAGAATATAAATACAGCGTAATAGTATTATTATAAAGAAATACTACGAGCTTTTTGTCAGAATGAAAATTTGTATATGGCCTACAAGATTAGTACATTTCATGGCATATGAAGATGTGAAAGTAGATAACAGGATGAAAAACAGTAGAAATTTTTGTAAGATTGTACAATAACCTTCAGGTTGATGTTTATATCTTCACATATCAGTGCTAAAATGAATGTAATTTTTCTCAGTAAGGAGAGTTTGCCACCTCTCATGTTAATGAAAATAAAATATCGATTAGTGCATATAGGACAGTATTCATTGACTGTTTTATTTCATTACAGAATCAATTTCATGAGTCTCCCTATAGTCATCCAAAGCAAAACACAATAATATTGCACCAAAAACACTATAAATATTACTGCTTAAGTCCTTTTTTTCTACAAAAGAAATCATTTGACTTTTAAAGACAGCTAAAATAACATATAAACACTTACAGATGGTTCACTGGAGTCTTCAATAAAAATAAACACATCGGCTCCAGCCTAAAATAAATGAATAAAATATTGTTACTACCCAAAGCCTTAAATAACTTCAAACTAAGAAATATATTAATATAAGCAAGTGAGTGGAGGTAGCATCATCAGTCTTTTATAGTAAATGGCATGTTTCTATGAACTCCAGTCCATTTGTTTTCTGCTACCCTAGACACTAGGACGCGGAACAATGGCTTCAAACTACAGGAAAGGAGATTCCACCTGAAATTTAGGAATAACTTCCTGACTGCGAGAGCTGTTGTTCAGCAGTGGAACTCTATGCCCTGGAGTGTGGTGGAGGCTCCTTCTTCGGAGGCTTTTAAGCAGAGGATGGATAGCCATCTGCCAGGGATGTTTCACCTGGTGGGTTTCCAAAGCTGAGCAGGAATTTGAACCGTGAACTCCAGAGTCGTAGATCAGTGTGCAAGTAACTATACCATGCTGGTTCTCTTCAAAAGAGAACCATAGCATAATTTTCCACATTATTTGAGATTAGATCATAAACTCAGAAAGTGCATTAGACAATACATTTTGTGGTTTACCTTGAATTGACTTTTTAATGGATCAACCTTTTATACTGAGATGACCTAGTCTTCTAAATGATGGCTTTGAAATAGAAAAAGTAACAATTGTGAATGTGAATTCATCTTTAGTCTCAGAAGATGGGTAGCAGAGCCTGGTATCTACCTAAAGTAGACCAATTCAAGAGTTATAGTGTGAATTCTCTTAGCTGAATGGGTCTTCTCTACATGGGACTAACAATGTAATTTATGCCCTAGTAAGTAGAAGCATTGGAATATATTGGTCCTTCTTACGACAAAAATATCAATGGCACATGATGTCTTTGCCTTTGAAAACTGTCTAGAAGCTTCAAATGGTCCAACGGACAGCAGCCAGATTGCTAACAGAAGCGGTGCTCAGGGAGCACACAACTCCTCTGTTGCATCAGCTCCACTGGCTGCCTGTCTGCTACCGGGCACAATTCAAAGTGCTGGCTTTAGCCTATAAAACCCTAAACGGTTCTGGCCCAACTTATCTGTCTGAACACATCTCCCCTTATGAACCATCCAGAAATTTAAGATAGTCTGGGGAGGCCCTGCTCTCAGTCCCGCCTACGTCACAAGTATGGCTGGCGAGAACGAGAGACAGGGCCTTCTCAGTGGTGGCCCCTCGGCTATGGAATGCCCTCCCTAAGGATATCAGATCAGGCCCTTCCCTTCTAACATTTCGAAAGAGAGTCAAGACTTGGCTCTTTGAGCAGGCATTTCCAAATACAGTGTAATAGACATAGGAAAATGGAAATGTTGGACGATGTGATTGGACAATGATTTTAATAGGAGACCTTAATGTTCATGTTTTTATTGAATTTGTTATGGTTTTATTATCCGATCGTTTTTATTGTATTGAAATTGTATTTTATGTTCTTGGCACCAATTGTAAATTGCCCCAAGTCGCCTGCGGGCTGAGAGTGACAGTATATATAGTAAATAATACATAAATAGATAATGTCCACATGTGGGAAGGAAGGGCTGACATCCTGCTCATGGTATACAGACATATAGGTTTCTGTTATTTTTGGGTCACTGTGGAGTTTGGTATTCCCATCTTCGCCTGCAGTTCTGAAAATGCCCTCTAGCTTACTATACAGCCTGGAATCCCCCTACTACTCCTCACCCCAGTAGATCTCAGTGCTGATGCAATATGGGGCATTTGCAGCTGGTTATGGGGGTTCAAGAGGGTTTGTTTGCCCCCTTAGCCTGTTTTTGGACCTCATCAACTTACATAGTTTCACACAAATCTAAAATAAAACCTTTCAATAGCTTTCGATACTATCAGTCATGGTATCCTTCTGGAACTCTTGGAGGGGCTGAGAATCAGAAGAATTGTGTTGCAGTCATTCCGGTCACACTGCTCAAGCAGACTCCAGATGGTGGTGCTTGGAGATAGCTGCTCCTCAAAAAGGAGCTGTTATTCAGTATCCCATGTCTTGTGTCCACTATTTTTAGTCATTGTTCCATGTATTTTAATCTATTATTCTGTAGAAATATGTTTAATGTGTTTATATAATGATTGTGTGTTTTTAGCTATTTTGTAAATTGTCTTGAGCCATGCGGAAGGCTGGTAAGAAATAATATTTATTTATTTATTTATTTATTTATTTATTTATTTATGGTATTTCTATCCCGTCCTTCTCAACTCCTGAAGGGGGACTCAAGACGCCTTACATTTGGCAGCAATTCGATGCTACTACATATAACACAGCAATATAATAACAATTAAAACAATAAGTAAAATATTCATTAAAACAGTAAAAAAACAGTATTAATAGTTGTTATTTTCATTATTATTATTATTATTATTATTAGTAGTAGTAGTAGTAGTAGTAGTAGTAGTAGTATAATTAGTATAATTATTATTATACTATCAAAGGGGCAATTTCAGGCTTAAAGTAGGCTCACATTGGACCAAAACAACCTTTAAAAATTTGTTTTTCCCCAAGGTTTCTATTGCTATTTGATTTTTTTCCACCCAAAAAAAATGTTTTGGGGGAACCAAGGGTCCCTGGCACTAGTTTCCTGGATTTATATGTTCCAGGGGTGGGAAAAAAACTGTTCAACTTTATAGTTAATTCAAAGGTATTCCTAACTTCAAACATTGAAATCAACCAGATGTTCAAGCAATTCCCTTTCAAAGTCATTATTATTAACCGTGTGGAAAAAAGACACTGTATGTTCACTATTTGGGACATTTCAATTAACAAGAGACTAGAAGCTACTTACCTCTGGGAAGAAAGTCCTTAGAACAAAATGTTTGTAGTCAAGAAAGGGAACTGTTCCAAAATTATCAACCACATCCAGCTGTTCCACTTGTAGTTCAGCAAATCCTGCAACAAACAAAAGATCCCCTGGAGTAGTGGTTTCTACAATATAACATTATCTTAAATATAGCTTTCAATATGATCCTGCAAATAGCAGTTATCAGAGACAGTTCTCACAGCAAACCTCTCTCCATTTTTTCATGACATGTGAAATGTAGGGTGAAATGTTTTCAATATATGATTTTCTTGGGAAAAAAATCCTATAGACAATACAATGGCAAACAAAGAATATGAACTGATCACAGTGAAAAGCATCAACCGTAAAGTGATACACAACTACAGGAGGCCCTACAACTTTTCTATGGGGTGGAAGCAGAGGGAGGAATATCTACAGGCAGATAGCCCTCCACATTGGTGAATTTGACTTTTGTGGGTTTGATTATTTATAGATTTGATTAAAATGCTAACTCTAGAAATTCCTAAGTTCTCCCTATGGTCAGTCTTTAGCCAAAATAAATGTAGTGGAAGTTGTGCTGGGTGATCCCAGAAAAATGTTCTCTTAAGTAAAAAAAAAAAATTAAAAGCTGTGTAAAGTAAAGAAATAATACTGTAGTTTTAATTCCATTTTTATGCCTCATGAAAATTTGATGGCTTCTTAATTTTTGTTTTGCTTTGTTTTGTTTTTTCTCTGTTTTTAATTTGGAGTGTGTCATGTTGCTGTTAGCCACCTTGACCCCTATATCAGGTCAAAGGGAAGACAGAAATGAAGTAAATAAATGAACTAGCCCTTACTTCACAGAGTGGGACAGTTGAATGTATTTTATAACTATAGGAAACAACTGTATTTTATGGAAAATAGTACACATCTTTAAATGGAACTGAAGCCTCCCTTCTCTAATACACCCAAGTTTAAATCTGCATTTCTTGTACGTAATGAATGTAAGAAAACCCACTTTCGCGTATATCTTTACGAAGTTCATATTCCAGAAGTTCCAGATGTTCACTTAGTTTTCTGTTTAACTGTTTGGATTTTCGTTGAGTCACAAAACATGCACCTAAAAAGAGACCAGAGATTTAATTAATTTAGACACAGTTGCAAGAGCTAATATGTGTGGCTGTGAACCTTCATCAAACAGAGGGCCCTTCCACACAGTCCTATATCCCAGAATATCAAGGCAGGAAATCCTACAATATCTGATAATGTGGGATTTTCTGCCTTGATTTTCTGGGATATAGGGCTGTGTGGAAGGGCCCAGTGATAACAAGAGGATTGCCTCCTTTCAACTGGGAGGGTAAGTCATTCCCAGGGTTTATGAGAAGGAGGAAACACTTTCAGATCTTTCATAGGCCAGACTATTATCATTCCTCTCTCATGATCAAAGCCCTCCTCCCTTAATCTATCCCTTCTTAAGTCCCATCATGTGACACAAAAACATAGATTTAGGCTGTTACTTACCTATAAATACTATAGGAATTAGTAAAAGAATATAGTAATACCAAGTGCTAAATGATTTCTTTGGAACTTCTTGCACAAAGAATCCCATCTTGACCTAGTGGATTAAAAGAAACTGAGTGAGCAAAAGGCACTGTAGAGTTTCTACAGTTGCAGTAGACTATAGTCAGGAAATAAACAAACTTAGAATCATAGTATTGGAAGAGACCTTGTGGTACATCCAGTCCAACCCCCTGAGAGGAAGCAGGAAAATTGCATTCAAAACACCCCCGACAGAATTGTAACTATACAATCTTTCTGTTATATAAATATATATAACAGAAATTCAGCCCTTGGTCATAAATGGAGACCAAGTGGGGCAGGTGGCCAGTTTTATGTTCCTGGGTATCACTGTGAATGAGGATCCAGCCTCCTTCACAGTGAAGGAGGTTGGATCCTCCTTCACAGCATTGATTACAGCAACCATAAGGCAGCGTTGGTTAAGAGAGGGCCAGCAGAGACTGTACTACCTGAGACTCCCAAGGAACCACCAACTGAACTGAATAGAAAACTGCTGGTGACTTTCTACCCCTGTGCTATCAAGAGCAGGCATGTAGCCGGGGGGGGGAGGGGCTCGGGGGGCTTCAGCCCCCCCCCCCGAAATTTTCATGGTGGTTCGCGAAAAGGCCTTATCGGTGCATTATTTAAACTGTTATGTTTATTCATATCATGATCTGATCACCATACTCAATATATCCCATATGCATGGGGGTATTGGGGTAATGATACAAAAGGTTTGCTAGGCTAGACCCTCTTTCACTCAGACTCAGCCCCCCCCCCCCCCCCGAAACGAAATCCTGGCTACGGGCCTGATCAAGAGTGTCCTAACCTACTTTATCTGCCCATGGTTTGGTAGCTGCACAGAGGCAGGTAGGAAGGCGCTCAAAAGGGTCACCACTTCTGCCCAGAGAATCATTGGTTGCCCTCTCCCCTCTTTGGAAGAACTTTATAATTCCTGCTGCCTTAAGAAAGCTCAGAACATTCTTGGGGATCCAGCTCACCCAGCATCATATTATTATTATTATTATTATTATTATTATTATTATTATTATTATTATTATTGCCATCTGGCAAATGGTACAAGGTGACAAAAACAAGGACAAAAAGACTGAAGGCTAGCTAGCTATCCTAGAGCTGTAGCTATGTTGAACTCCATGGTTTCGCACTGATGTGGCATTGGGGGCTCTGTGGTTGTGGTGGGGGTGTGGAGGGATGAGTGTGCTGTTTTGTGGCATGTGTGTGTGTGTGGGGGGGAGGCATGCAATTTCGTTATGCAATAGCACAATGACAAAGTTATTCTATTCTAAGTTATTATATTCTGTTGAAACCTACCACAGTGGAAAGCACTTATTTAAGTACACTTAACTAAGTAATATTAACTGACCCCCACCCCACTTCTCCCCAATCTTGATTTGCTGAGAACAAGCCACTGTAAGCAATGGAAGTTTGTTCTGAGGTTAATCAGTGCCCAACAAACTGATCTTTTTCAACTCTTTGTAACAGCAATATCAGAGTGACAGTCAGAAGAAAGATTCATGTGGCAATTTCTCCACGTGCCTGATGTTGCTGGTAGGTAAGAAGTGGTAAGACTGGTTTGCTGATCCCATTGACAGGAGAAGACAGCTGTGCCAACTCTTTTTCCATTTTACTGTCTGACTTTAAAATATATGTGAACTAAGTACTACTATTTTATTCTTGTGTCTCCCTATATTATTTCTATTCTCCCCACCCCCCCCCCCACCCCACCCCATCTTTTCTTCTCTTTTCTCTGACTTGAAATCTAAATGCTTTGCATCTGGGGACTTTAAATGGAAGCTATTTAACTTGGATTAAACACACACATATGCACACATATGCACAAAAAACATTGACCTGAAGTCCTTATACAGGAAAGTCTAAATGTAATCAATTTGCATTGAAATTGATAAGAGTTTCGTATTTACGTCTCCATCTAGCAATCCCTCTGCCGGTTTGCTGTGTTACAAGCACAAATTACTGTGTTCCTATATATAGAAGCAATGCAGGAAAGGCAAAAGCTCACAGTACTATGTAATCAAAGACTAAATTGTTGAAATCTGGATCTGATTTTAACTCTCTACCCTGGTTTGAAAGACAATGAAACAGAAAATATTATTCATTTTGTACTACCCACAGAAGTAATGGACGTGAAGGACAGAAGCTGGGAGGAGTGGAAAGAAGAAAAAGGGGCAGAGGTTTTATTGTGTTTGCATGTCTATTTACTCTACTCTGGTCAACTATAAGACCCATGATGCAGATCAGTCTGATGTGGCGCTCTTTCTATTGTACCCCCCTAGTGTTATCCTGCAGATTAAAGCTATTGTATAAAATGCAAAGATACAGAATGGCTCGACAGAAGTATGTGTGAAAAAGACCTCGTGGACAACAAGTTAAACATGAGCCATCAATGTGCTGTGGCGGCAAAAAAAGCCAATGGGATTTTGGCTTGCATAAATAGGAGTATAGTGTCTAGATTCAGGGAAATCATGCTACCCCTCTATTCTACCTTGGTTAGACCACACCTGGAATACTGTGTCCAATTCTGGGCACTGCAATTGAAGGAAGATGTTGACCAGCTGGAATGTATCCTGAAAAGGGCAACTAAAATGATTACCGGTAAGTGTCTGGAGAACAAGCCCTATGAGAAGCAGCTTAAAGAGCTGGGTATGTTTAGCCTGCAGAAGAGAAGGCTGAGAGGAGGCATGATAGCCATGTATAAATATGCAAGAAGAAGTCCTAGGGAGAAGGGAGAAAGTTTATTTTCTGCTGTTCTGGAGAGTAGGATGCGGAACAATGGCTTCAAACTACAGGAAAGGAGATTCCATCTGAACCTTAGAAAGAACTTCCTAACTGTGAGAGCTGTTCAGCAGTGGAACTCTCTGCCCCAGAGCGTGGTGATGGCTCCTTCTTTGGGCCATCCAGCCTTTTAAGCAGAGGCTGGATGGCCATGTTGGGGGTGCTTTGAAAGCGATTTTCCTGCTTCCATGAGGTCTCTTCCAACTCTATGATTCTATGAAATCTCATCTCTAGGGTCTGATTGGAAAATAGATCCTATAGTATGTGTTTTTGGGTACCATACCTCAACACTTATACTGATTTTGAACCTATGTGATAGTATTTTAATATACACACACTTTCTCTCCAGAGTCCCAGAAGATGATCTTTAAAACCAGAGAAATATTTAAATTATAATGTCAACTGATTGTTTTGCCTGTTAATTTTTCCCTTGCTAGCTTTTCCTTGCACACATACACACACCCATACTGCTACCAAATTCCGCCATTTTTTGCACATCACTTATATCGTTGCTGCTCCTGACAGTAAAAATGAGGCAATTTCTTAGCCAAAAAGATAATTCAGACTTATGCTGCTCACTACAATGCAGATTTTACAGAAGACAGTCGATGCCAGACTCTCTTGGATATGTACTTTGATTGAAGTAAGTTTGGACGTGTGTGTGTGTGTGTCAGGAGAGACATGAGAAACTGCAAGTTGCTTCTGGTGTGAGAGAATTGGCCATCTGCAAGGACGTTGCTCAGGGGATGGCCAAAAGTTTTGATGTTTACCACCCTTGTGGGAGGCTTCTCTCATGTCCCCACATAAGGGATCTGCAGCTGACAGAGGGAGCTCATTCATAGTTTGGACAATCTTTCCTAGACTCAGCTTACCATCATTTGTTTCACAACTATCTCGATCCCATTTTAAGTTCTGCACTCTATTGTGGCCCTCCTGTTTGGCTTATTATAACACTAAGGATATTCCTATCCCATAGTTATTTGAATTCTTGCACTTTCCATTGGCCCCATTTAGAAAGCTCTGTACTTACTCATACCCAAACTCAGTGTCAACTTTATCTCAGCCATAAGATTGTTTTATGATTATGTTTGTTACTGTGTTATGTTTTATTTGATTGATTTTATTGTATTTGGTTTTCTCTGTATTTGGGCTTGTCCCCTTGTAAGCCGCCCTGTGTCCCCTTGGGGAGATGGTGGCGGGATATAAAAATAAAGTTGTTGTTATTGTTGTTGTGTAGTACAGAAATGAAAACAAAAATTTATATTAAAAAATTCACAGCGGTTCTGGAGGAGGGCAGAGGAAAAACAAAAGCTTAAAAGTCACCAAGATTTCTTAGGAAATTAGTTTGTTGTTACATCTGTTACAATGTTTGAAGTGGCCAGTATCTTTTACGTACACATACAGAAACTAAGAACATCAGACAAATTCTCCAGCTCTGAAGGGTTGCAATGACTTTGTGGCCTCCAGCTTGTACTGTGCTTTCAGAAGTAGCAGCAACACCATGTAATTTATCTATGAGATCCAAAATTTCCTACAGCACTGAGGCTGGACAATTATAAGGTAGCTGATCATAATGTTATGGGGACTGTTTTCCAATCAGACTACATTATACCCGCCTGGTAGGAATATTCAGAATATAGAAAGGCTACAACTATGACATCCTTTTAAAATACTATCTGGAATTCAGATCAGATTTGATGAGCACTAAAATGTTTAAAGTTACAGAAAACATTTGTTTTTACTTACATACACTTTTACATTGGATTTATCCATCTTGTTACCAGAATTCCTTTCCTGTTTGACTTTGCCATGTATAATACTATAATCCGTGGAGTTTGAAATTTTTTGGATGTTGACAGTTTTATTCATTAACTCGTTGTTAACCATGCAAGAGAGAAATACTTTGATTTCATTAATTGAAATATTTAATTTGTCATTTCTTTTCTGGAAATAATGGAAATAATTTGAATGAAACATTGCAAATGTAGTGAATTTTTAAATTAAAAGATTGGGTTTTTTATATATAAAAATCAACTTACATATATATTTAACTCCAAGTCAGTTTCCAAATCAACTGTAATTTCATAGTAAGCAAATTCAGGATCAGGTTCGTACTGAAATGTAATGCAAGTTATTTGCTTCTTTTCGACTTGAAGGAAAACAGTAGCCATCTTAGTTCTTTTTTCAGACTTCACAGCTGGCGTGGGAAAATTACATGTGCTACTATTTTGATCACATATGAAGTTCTAAAAAACATATAAAACATGACAAGTGTTATACAGATTTTTGTTAAAATGGATTCAATATAACTCTAACTGACATTTTATGGACATGTATGCTACTCATCTTAGAAGGCTTTCTACTAGTCCTTACATTTTTAGCTCACTAATAAAGATATATAAAATATTTATTTAAACACTTAAGAAATAGTATTAGAAACATCGATACCTAAAGGTAGTTTGGAGAATTGGTATGGGGTAGAGGTTTGGTTGTTGAATACTACTCGATAACACTATGTAACAAAATTTGAAAAGTCTTTTGTTCCAGGGTTGAAAGTGTTATTTCCTGTTTATTTGTGTGATACTTACTTTGAAAGTAGTTGGTATACTCCAGAAACTTTGCTTTTGTAGCTGCCAACAGCTATGTTGAATTGGTTGAGACTCTATGGACCTCTTCACACCAGGCAAAATAGCCCCAATATGGCTTTTTTAGCACCGGCTTGGATGGGGTCTGCCAAGCGCCATCAGATATCAAAATGTGCTTCCTCCTCTACGATGGGGAGGGAAGTGTTTTTTGAGTAGCTCCAACAGAGCTACTCACACTTTCCTCTCCTTTTTCCCATATGGGGAAAGGACGGTGGAGCAACACGTCCCATATGATGGAGGAAAGAGGCAACTGCTGGTGCAATGGCAAGCCCCCCATGGACTGTGTGAAGAGGTCCTATGAGATATCCATTGAAATAGCAAAACACGATGCAGAATGTCTTGGAAAAACAAAGTTTTTGCAGTTTTAAAAAAATCCATGTTTTTATGATAAAACTAATTAGGAAATGACATTTATAAATTTGGGAGTACATGACTCCAACTGCTTCACTCATCGGTCCAAGAGAATGCACATGACAAAATTACAATCCGGCAAGGGGTCTTAAATTTGTATAACACCCAAGTCTCTTGTTCCTTTACTCTTCATCAAAATGACAGCAATTAGAAAAGTAGGAAAAAGATCCAGTATTATATACTGAAAGGTATCCAACACAACACTAAGGGGCTTTGGATAGATGCATCCTTCCACACCATAACTTAAACTGGATGTGAAAAATACATTTTTTTGCTACCAAATGTTTCCAAGAGCAATGGTTTCCTTTCAATGGGAGATCTATGGGGACATTTACTACTAGTTGACCTTTTTGCTAGTAGTTGGACAAATGCTAAAAAAGCAACTATTCCAAGGAATATCTATAATGAACTGTGTGAGAGAAATAAGATTGAACACTGTAAAAGCCAACCACTACATAGCTGCCAGCCTCCTCCCAGTAGACTCAAATCAAGGAAAAGCTTTATGAGAACTATCACTCCCCTTGGCGTCCCCCCAGCAACAGCAAGGGCATCCCTCTGGGCAGCTAAACCAGAAAATCCCCATTGGATGCCCCCCCCCCAACGAGGGTCTTTCTCCAGGGGCAAACCAAGAATTGGCAACTTGGAAGTCCCTGAACAGACTCAGAAATGGAGTGAGCAGATCAAAAGACAATTTGGCAAAATGGCACTACCTAAAAGAATCCCACACATTATGTGACTGTGGAGCAGAACAGACAACTCCGCATCTGTATGCTTGTCCGCTATGCCCTGCCTCATGTATGGAGGAAGAATTGTTGGAGGCTACAGACAATGCCGTTGCTGTTACCCATTTTTGGTCAAAAGATATTTAGCCGCCTGCACTCCTTCTATTTTTTATCAGCTTTATACTAATTTATGCAATGCTTTTGATACAATATATATATATATATATATATATATATATATACATACATATATATAATTAACTGTAAATGGAATTGTACAATGGGACACAGAATCATTTGCACAAGCACTTGTTGAGATACTAAACAATGAATGTGGAATTTCCACAAGCTGTACAAATTTTACATAAGTAAGTAGAGCAATCCCAGACTCCAGAAATCAATAATTAGAAAAATACAACTGTTCCCAGCAATGACATTATCTGTTTGTTGGCAGAATGCAGCCAAAGGAATATCCTGACACATGTCTATTCATTAATAAAACCTGAAGGTTTCTTTTGTAACAGGGGCAGGGAATTTGTGGCCATGGACACCAACTCCCATTATTCTTCATCACTGGTGTTGTAAACTACAGATGATGAAAATTTCAGTTCAGCACTGGAAGCCAGAAGTTGCCTGCTTTCAAGCTTCAGCAACAGAATTGATTTGTCTCAGTGGAGGGAAAGAGATGCCATAAAATCAGTTCTGAGGCATTCAAATGCACGGAAATTGGGGAAAACAATAAATGGAGAACACTTACAGCCAGTTTTTCTCTTTGCTCATCAAAAATGAGGCTTGAATCTGTAATATTCAAGTGTTTGCCATGTATAGTCATGTTGCGTCCTCCACTGCAAAATAATAGATTTAAAAATAATATTTGAATATTAATATAAAGATTATGAAATAAATGTAGCATTACTACTCTGAATGTAGGAAAAATGTATAAATAGAATCAAATACAATTAAATTATACAAATATGAGAATAATTGTACAAAAACATTCCAGCTGCCACAGTGCAAGGTGCAACCAAATTGGGAAGTGAAATCATGTACCAAAAATAGTAGGTAGGTGGCCAATTCATCTTATCTACCACACCAATGCTGGCCACCCACCATTGTTTTTCTTATCAATAGGAAAATTTCAAGGAGGAAAAAGTGGAATAACTGTACAATGCCTGTTAATTGGCAGTGTTAGGAACTATTTATCCGCAAGGACACTGAGGAATTGACATCTTGATTTCCTTCCAGCCGTTTTTATTATACTGAATAAATGTGAGAAGTGGCCTCAACAAGTGCATTTTATTTCCAATTTTATTGTTCCTTATTAGATTTTTAACCCATTTGAAATACAAATATATTGAATAATCAAAAGAAAAACAAATGTATGCTGTGCGCAAAGAAAATATAGCCAAACAGAAAAAAGTCATACTCTACTTATGAGAATTGTATGAAACAAAGATTCACAATTCATTGAGATAACTAAATTGTGATATCTGACTTTTTCGTGTCAGGAGCGATTTGAGAAACTACAAGTTGCTCCTGGTGTGAGAGAATTGGCTGTCTGCAAGCACATTGCCCCGGGGACACCTGGATGTTTTACCATCCTGTGGGAGGCTTCTCTCGTGTCCCTGCATAAGAAGCTGGAGCTGATAGATGGGAGCTCACCCTGCTCCCCGAATTCGAACCACCGACCTTTCAGTCAGCAGTCTTGCCGGCACAAAGATTTCACCCATTGTACCACAGGGAGCTCCTACATACATTAAAGACCAGCAATAGAAGGTGAAGAAACAAGATTAGTAAAGGGGAACTTTAATTACTATCTTGGACCAACATACTATCCTCTCAAAAAAAAAAACAGCCTTCAATATTCAATTATAATTATTTTTTATCCACATCTATATATTACAGAAATTGAATTAATATCGGCTGAACCCTAGTTCTTGAAAGTCAGTTGAAAGAATACAGATAGTCTAGACAGATAGATTCATATCTACCTTCAGAAGGGAGTTTTACATTGATAGTTAGACTTAGTCCAAAGATGGTACCAAACCTGAACAAGATATGTTACAAATCACCTGTAACTTATTACTTTGATTGTAATATTATTACTAGCATATTAGTATGAAAACAGATCTAAGATTTAAGGCACAAATCCATTTGCTGATTGCAATTAGATTAGAGCAACTGAGTCAGTGCTATTTAAAGGTACAGGTTTACACTTGACATTAAGTCTAGTCGAGTCTGACTCTGGGGGATGGTGCTCATCTCCATTCCGATTTAGCTGGCATTGTCCGTAGATACCTCCAAGGTCATGTGGCTGGCATGACCGCATGGAGTGCCATTACCTTCTCGCCGAAGCGGTACCTACTGGTCTACTCACATTTGCATGTTTTCAAACTGCTAGGTTGGCAGGAGCTGGGGCCAGCATTGGGAGCTCGCCCTATCCCCGGATTTGAACCGCCGACCTTCTGGTCAGCAAGTTCTGCAGCTTAGCGGTTTAACCTGCCGTGTCACTGGGGTCCCTTCAGTGCTTTTTACAAAACTGTAATTTCATCATAAAGCAGCTATTTTTATGGATCTATTCTAGTTGGGACTTACACCTGAATATAGTTCTTATACCTGTCTATACACTTACTATTTATTTCTTCACAGTGCTTCTATCTGCAGAGAAAATATGGCTTGATAACCCTAGGAAAGAGTTCTTTTTAAGTCAATGATACTTTCCCTATTTGCATAGTTGGTTCTAGTAATAAAAGCAAGACTATCCAGGAGCAACATGTTGGAAATTAATTGGAGTTTATTCATTTCCATCACAATGTTATTGTTGCATCTGGTACCAAATCTGGCAGCTTGTTTGTTTGGAAGGGATAGCTGCTCATCTAGCCTTCTATTTAATTGTAAGCTGTGACATAACAATAACAATGATTGTTATAGTCTCTTTTATTGATAAACGCCAAGCAGTCAATAGAATGTAACAGACAATAATAAAATGGCACACTAATAAGAAATTATGAAAAGAAAATGAAGCATTACAGATCATATGTTAATCCAGTTAAGTCATGATTAAAATCAGGCAATAGAAAATGCTAAAATTATACAGAAGGAACCTGTATAACTGATTTGATTTCTGGCAAAACAAGCATTTCCAAGTCCTGTCTTTGATTGGGAGAATGATCTGGTGGCAGCTACAGCCAGTCCCCAAGTTACAAACATCCGACTTACAAATGACTCATACTTAAGAATGAGGGTGAGACAATAGGAAGTGAGAGAAATCTCACCAATCCGCGTTTCCACAACAAGCCATTTTTTTCAAAATCTAATGATCACAGGGACAGAAAGTGAGGTGAAAGCTTCTGAACAGGGGTGCAAACCCCAAAGCAAACACCACAGGGGTGTTAACCCTTCCCTATGCTATCCAAAGCTTCTCTCTCTCTCTCTCTCTGTGTGTGTGTGTGTGTGTGTGTGTGTGTATATATATATATATATATATATATATATATATATATATATATATGACTGGAGTTACACTTGAAAAATGTACCTGTTCTGACTTACAAACAAATTCAACTTAAGAACGAACCTACAGAACCTATCGTGTTCATAACTTGGGGACTACCTGTATAATCATGCTTAGAACTGAGATTTTGAAGAAGCTTATCTTAGTTCAAGGGAATTTAGAAAGGTGAAGGGATTGGCTTTATAACAGTAAAGGACTAACAGTGTTAACAATCATCTGTAAATCTATGATTTAACAATAATGCTTTACTATCTTTTCAAAAGAATTAAAATAATTCAGGGGTTACCTCTTCCATGTAATATTTGGAATGATTCGGGAACATTCTGGGAGAGACAGATAATGCAATGGCACGGAGCGTGAGCACTTTGCTCCAGTTTTCTTTATGCATACGCTCTTGACTTCTTTGCGACTTGGCGGTAAACAGAATTTCATGTGCGTGCGATTTAGCACCTCAGTGACAGGTATCCTATCAGTGGAGGAGGAGGAGGAGGAAGAAGAAAATCTCTTGAATCATTTCTAACAATAACTGTCACTCACAAAGCAATAAAAGAGCATTGGTGAACCATTTTTCTATAACTAGATTTAAATGAGCATGTATGCTTATAAAGCTATGAAATTCCTGTGAGTGTCAGAATAAAAATCTAGGCTCATATTAGAGTGGCCAATTATAGCAACATCTGGGAGCTCTGGCTCAAAAAAAATGTTCAAAAGCCAGAATCCTGGTTTAGTTTCTCCTCGTTTGTTAGTATTCCATGATATGTCCAGAAAATTCTGTCAGAACAATGTAGGATCTTTGAGCCAAAGTTAGTCCACGAGAAGAGAATGCTGAAGGAAGGAGTTTGTTCCCAACATCCACTAAGAGTTTTCAAAACTCTTGAAGGACTTTCAAAGAATCATTAGTAACCATCCAAACTGGATCAATGTAACTAAGCGTCCAATCAGATTTCATACCAAGGTGGTTTAGGAAACATTTTTAAAACTCACTGCAATTTCTTTTTTTAAACTCAATTTAATAATAATAATGTTTATTTTTTATATTCCAGTTTATCTCCCTGAAGGGACTCAGGGCCTATTCCACTCACAAAAAGGGAAACATTCAATGCCTGAACATAACAACTAATAAACAAATAATAACGAAAATTAAATTGCACAGCATATAAAAACGAATTATAATTTAGCAAATTAGGATAAGATTTAAACACAACCTATTTTATCAGACACAAAACAGAAGTGTTAATTTCCCCGAGTCAATAGAGTTCCTTGGGGGAATTTAAATTGATCATTGCTCAATATGTCAAATGAGCTAGCAAGGCAGACAAGACCCAAGTAAGCATTGCAGATACTCAGAGGTATAATAGCAATGTCATTATCTATTCCTCCTCCTCGTACGTCAGTGAGCAAAAGTATGTTTTCAGCTGTTTCTTAAAGGCAAGGAGGCAAGGGGCCACCTTTAGTTCTTTAGGGAGGGAGTTCCAGAGATGGAGGCGACCATGGAGAAGGCCCTTTCCCTCGTTCCCACCTGCTGCGCTTGAGACGGGGGTGGGACTGAGAGCAGGGCCTCCTCCAATGACCGCAGAGTCCAATCTGGTCTCTAGTGGAAGATGCAGTTCATCAAATAGCCTGGACCTGAGCCATTTAGGGCTTTAAAAGTAATGAACAGCACTTTGCATTTAGCCTGGAAGCAGGCCAGCAGCCAGTGGAGCTGCCACAGCATGGGTGTAGTTCTCTACCTGAGCGACGCTCCAGTTAGCAACCTGGCTGCTGATCTCTGGACCAGTTGAAGCTTTCAAACTTTCTTCAAAGGTAAGTCCGCATAGAGAGCATTGCAGTACTCCAAACGGGATATGACTAAAGCATGGAATACCATGGCCAGATTTGTCATGTCAAGATACGGGCTAAGCTGGCGCACAAGTTTTAACTGTATGAAGGCGCTCCTGGCCACCGCCGACACCTGGGATTCCAGGGTCAGCAATGAATCCAGGATTACTCCCAGACTGTGGTCCTGTGTCTTCAGGGGGAGTGTGACCCCGTCCAACACAGGCTGTAATCCCACATCTTGATCTGCCTTCAGATGTATGAAAACAGAGAAAAACATTATCTCCATTCTATTGTGAAAGAAGATGACACTGAAAAAGTTCAAAAATCAATTTTTCTGAATAGAAAGCGGTCAATCTCTCACTTTGCCTTATCTCTTTTTAGGGAACATTAGCATTCTATAACAATAACATTTTATTTTTTATGTTTGTTCCCTTAAAGTAAACAAATGTTTGTGGCGCAGCTGGCTGAGTGTCAGCTGCATTAAGATCACTCTGACCAAAAGGTCATGAGTTCGAAGCCAGCCCGGGCTGGAGTGGGTGTCCAGCCATTGTGTAGCCCATTGTCGACCTTTGCAACCCGAAAGACAGTTGCATCTGTCAAGTAGGAAAATAAGGGACCACCTTGTGTGGGAGGCTAAATTTAACTAATTTATGAGGCCATAAAGAAAGAAGACTCCGGGGAATGTGGAATGCGGAAGAACTTTATCGGTGTCGCTGATGGACGATGAAAGCAGCAGCTCCCCTGGTGGCCAGAAAAAAAAAAGTTAAATAGCCTCTGTGTATTGTCTGTATGTTGTTTGTCAAACTGGCATTGAATGTTTGCCATATATGTGTTTACTGTAATCCGCCCTGAGTCCCCTGCGGGGTGAGAAGGGCGGAATATAAGAACTGTAAATAAATAATAAATAATAAATGGACTTTTGCCACCTCCACATAAGATTACAAAATGGTAAAAAATAAAGATAAAAAAAACAAGGATCATTAACATGCAATCTCAGAAAAAAATAACCAGGTTTATTAACACTGGTGGTATGCCCTCTGCAAAAGTGTGGACAGTATCCAAATAATGCATCTATTTGCTTATTTTATTCATTAATTCTCTTTGGCTGGAATGCTACAGGTCCTAAAGAAGAAAAGATTATAGACATAGAAATAAAATGTAGTGGAAGAATGGTAGATGTCTTTCATCACACATGATCACTATTCACATTATGAATAACTATATCTGGAACACAGCTTGGAATAGTTACTTTCTGGGATTACAGTTTCCAGAATCCCTTCATCAATAGCGTCCAAGCTCTGATTAGAATTCACTTTTTCCAAAACATCATTTTTCATTAATCCCATTCCCCTGCTACCTCTAAAGCAGTGGTTCCCAACCTTTATTTGACCAGGGACTACTTTGCCCAGGGACCACTCTCCAACATTAGTACCAAAAGGGTTACGAATCAGTTTTTGGTCAACTTTAGGTTCGGTTTGGTTATTTGGGGTGCTGATTCAGAAAATTGCATTAGATAGACTATATTAGCTCTAGTTTCTGATACAGAACATATGCCATCCAGTAGTCGCCATCTGCTCACCCACAGAAAACTATATTTAATAATCTAGACCTGATGATGGTCTATTGAGTGCAATTTTCTGAATCAGTACTCCAAATAACCCCAGGGACAGGTCTAAAAACAAAGACACAAATAATTTGTTTTAGTTGGGCTGTGTTATCTTTGGATTTTGCTTGGCACTATAAGAGGATTTTGTGAGACCAGTCAATCTTGTTGCAATGATGTAGTAATGAACAACAGCATCAGATCCAATTCCAAGTTAAAGAAAACCTACTAGGTATTATGAAGTTTGCATGCCCAGTGCAAACATCTTCATGATTGCAATGCAGTACAGTGTAGACTAATGTGAATTTCAGAGGTAAAACCTTTCTTTGTTATGACTTACTCTACTGGTCTGCAGCTACTGGCTCCAGTTATCTGCATCAAAATGTTTGATCCTATGAAATTTTCTCCTATAACGAGCACTTCACTTTTGCCTAGTGTTGATATCCATGCTGGTGCAATGGAAGCAATGTTCATGTTCTATAGGAAACAACAAAGAACTAGATTTTAATATATTAGAGTAAAATTATCAAATCACACATGAATGGATATCTTTATAACATACATGTCTTGTTCACAGTTGACAATTAGATGTGGTTTATTATAAGTTATAGAAGAATTTGTACTCTATAATTTTCATCAGTTCTTCAAGGAAAGACTATAAAAAATAAAGAAGGAAGAAAATATAAACTCCATTGGAGTCTATGGATGCATCTACACTGGGGAATGAATGAAGTCTGACCTCACTTTAACTGCTGTAGCTAAATACTATGTGATCATGAGAACTGTAGTTTTATAGGGCCTAGCCTTTTCTGTCAGAGTTTGGTGCCTGACCAAACTACAAATCTCATGACTGCATAGTATTGAGTTATGGCAGTTAAAATGATATCATCTGTATTAATTCTACAGTGTAGATACTTTCTATGACTTGGGAAGCTATGAACTGCTTTCACCGTCCATCACCATCTTAATCACAGTAAAGCATAGCACATGATCCAACTTTAATCACATTACCTATAATTAATTATGAACTATAATTAGATACCCTTTTAACTATGATATAAAATGTGAACAACACATACAGTAACATTAACATGATAGTATTAATAATCATGGGTTGTATCAGTGGAGATTTAATGAAAAAATAATGAAATAGATGAAAAATGGGATGAGAGCAGAGACTTCTAAATGTAGAAGTGGACACCTGTTGCTCCACCTCAGTGAAATCCATAAGCCTCCAAACCTGGTGGAAATGTTCTTTATTATCCCTAGTGAACGTTTAAGAGCATTTTAGAACAAAACACGCTCTCTCTCTCTCTATATCTCTATCTATAGTAATATTTGACCCTCTGGGCTGGCCAGATCTATTCTAAACATTAGTTCCTCATCTGGAAATTACAATAAACAGAAAATCAAATGTTATGTATGCAATTCATATCACCAGTCCAAAAGGAAACAATGATTTGGGAATGCGGTTTCTTTAAAAATATGCCATACCTATATCAAGATACACAAACATTTATTATGTATATTTATTTAATGGCTTTCCTGGCTTAAGTGAATGTGTAAGACTGTTTTGACTAAAGCAACCAAGCACCTTAAATTATTTAATGTCATATTTATTTATCAGTCAACACTACAGCTTGATAAATAATTTTTGGGGTAGTAACTCCCAAATCCCTTAGTCACCATCAGGGGATAATCAGGGCTACAATCCAAACACATGTTGGTTATCTAAAATTGGGGTCCATTAAAAAACACAATACTTCCAAGTTCCATCAATCAGATATCAGTGGCAAGTATTGCATATGTCATATTCCAACATATAGATTTTGTGGTCTTTACCCACAACGGTCTTTTACTTTTCCATCCATCATCTTCTGAACAACATTGGCTCAGTGTCTTTGCAGCTTTTAGACACTGATATCCTATAAATTACATTATTTCAGTGAAATTTCTCATAGTTAACCTGATCAAAAATGTGTACATTTAAGATGTAGCTTTAAAGTAATTACAACTGAGGAAGCACAACTGTACATTTCTAAACAACTTCACAAATGGATGAACCCATTAATGCAAAATTGACTGTAAATGTTTATGAATGCTAGTCTTTTAAAGAATGTAATTTTTAAGTAGAATTTATTCTAACAACAAAAACAGCATTTTAAAAAACCCTAGTAGAGTCACTGTTGTACTGCAGCACATGGGTTCAAGTTCCCTTCATCAAATACTTGAAATGGCTACCTAAGTATATATGCTGACTATAGAGAACACAAAAATCAAATGACCACATCTCTAATGCAGTCAGTGAAACAGATAGTTTTCTTTGTATAAGCTGAAGACAAGCAATACAAACAAACAAGCAAAAAAAGCAGTTGTATTTGTTACAATACTGTAACATGAATACAAGTTGTCATTTTAGGCTCATGCAGGCATGTAGCCGGGGGGGGGGGCCTCGGGGGGCTTCAGCCCCCCCAAATTCTCATGGTGGTTCGCGAAAAGGCCTTACTGGTGCATTATTTAAACTGTTATGTTTATTCATATCATGATCTGATCACCATACTCAATATATCCCATATGCATGGGGGTATTGGGGTAACGATACAAAAGGTTTGCTAGGCTAGGCCCTCTTTCACTCAGACTCAGCCCCCCCAAAACTCAGCCCCCCCCGAACCCGCCCTGAAAAAAATTCAGCCCCCCCCCCCGAAATGAAATCCTGGCTACGGGCCTGGGCTCATGGGATTCAAACCCCTCAAATCCTTGAGATCTCTCTCTAAAAAGTTATTGTTCATCTTCAGTTTACACACCCTATTTGTCTTATTATGCGTATGTTCAGGATGTGAACATGCTGGTGAGATTTTATTGATATCATTATACCTAGCATCTCCTTATCAGTGGTCTTATACAGAATGGGGACAAATCTGCACATATCTTTTGCAGCGCTTCCTATCAAGAAGCAGAAAAGGAAGCCACTGACAGATGCCTTCTCAAGACAAAAGAGAAGGAAGTGAATCATGATAAAACTGTTGCTGCTCCCCCAGTAGCAATGTCCTCAAAGTTGGGACTCCTAAACCCCACTGTTTCTGGACACCTTATTGCACCCACACCTCAAGTCCTATGCTATGTTAGTAGTGGGTTCAATGGATATTGCTTATGGATGCACCTTATACTGAGGTTACCACCCTACGTAAACCAATATGGTCAATATTGAGTATCAGTGGCTCTGCATGTTTTCAGGTGATCAAAGATGATTACCTGGTGTGGTCTCTAATCCATTAATCAGATATGACTTCGCTTTGCAGTTAAATAGAGCATGCTCGGGATATGCACACTCACAGCCTAGCATGTATTACATGTAGACCCTGAAGAACAACAGTACTGTGCAACTCAAATGTGTGCAGTGTGTGGGTAAGTGCCAGTACAAAGAACACATTAGATAAAACACTGCAATTTAAGTATATCCATCCCAATTAGCTGTATAGGTACTGTTATTCCTGCTCAAGGATTCCCAATAAGCAAAAAAGGTAAAGACAAGTATTATCTTAGAACTTCAATCTCTTCATGAAGCTGAATTGAAAGCCCCTGATTGTAGAATTCAGATTTTGACATACTTTGAAAAGATAAATAGACATCAATGAGACTTCAAAGTGCTAGTTATCAGCTATAAAGTCCTAAACAGCTTGGGTCCTGCCTATGTTCATGACTGCACCCACCCACCCATGAATCGATGCAGGTTCTAAGATCTGCCAGGAAGGCCCTCCTCTTGGTCTCGCCACTGTCAAGCATGGTTGGTGGGGACAAGGGAGAGGGTTTTCTCAATGGTGGCTTCCTGGCTTTGGAGCTCCCTCCTCAGGGAGATTAGACAGGCCCCCACACTATCCTCCTTTCATGGGGACTTGGAAGAAGTGGCTCTTCAAACAAGCATTTGAGAATATTTAGCCCCTAGTTGTCCTACATAATAGTTGCACATCCTGCACTTTATCCCATGCCCTCTCTCCATTACTGCAGCTGGCACTTATTTTATCTCAATGTTTACAGCCCAGCCATGGTGCTAGTAATTTACCAGCACAGTTAGAGGATCGCACCTTAATTGAGTCTAAATTGACGTTTTTATATGTGCATGTGTCTTATTTTATTGTATTTTATATTGTGTTCATTTTTATGTTTGTTTTTAGGCGCTTTGTGCCATCTGTATGCCACCCTGAGTCCTTTCAAGGAGATGGTGGCGGGATATAAGAATAAAGTTGTTGTTGTTGTTGTTGTTGTTAGTAGTAGTAGAGGTAGTAGCAGTAGTAGTAATTAATTTATTCTCTTAAATGTTATTTTCTGTAAGCCTTTCTGTAAGTCTGTATCCAATCTCATGATTTCCTTATGTACAAAAGAAAACTCATTTTCCCAAATACAACTGGGATGGAATGGGAAAATCATGCTGGAATGGGAAAATCATACTATATGGAATGGACATTAATGGATGACACAAACTAATCCTTCATACAAATTGTGTTTCATATTAATACTTGTTAATTCTATAATAGGCTAGATTTAAAATGAAAAAAAACTTTACACATAATTTGCTTGTTTTGCTTTCCATAACCATCTTTAAAACCAAATGGTTTTTTTTTAAATTCAAAAGTGATAACAACTGAAAATGCATTTCAGCATTTGCTTCTAAACAGAAAATAGAAGCTCCTTCTAGGAAATTCATAAAAAGCATCTGATACACATCATTCAAATAGCAAATGCTGGTTTTTCATTTTGTTAGAATTCAGTAAACAGGAAACTTGACTAGTCTTCAAGATCTAATAACCTGAAAACTACCTGACTGGATTAAACTTAGAACTTACTCCAAGAAAGAATGTATTTTGAGTGTTTCAAAAGGTATGCTTTATACCAGTAATACTGTAATATAATAATATTCCCCCTCGATGGACTGTCACCTTGTCATGGTGAGGGGGCTTGCGCGTTCCAATGAACCTGTAGGCACAACAACTGGAGTCGTGCACTCCCAGGAGTGGCCGCGGGGGAGGTTCCAGACCAAGCACAGTCCGAAGACCCAAAGACCTCAACGGCGGAGCAGGCGGAGGATAACATGGCACATGTTACAACGGCTGCGAAGGCGGAAGAAGGCTGCAACAGACTGAGAAGCCACGGTCATTGTGTTAAACTACATCACCAGTGGAACCTCACTCTGTGAAGTCTGTGTGTTGATCAGTTGTGCACTGACCTCCACACATTAAAAAACCCACGCACAGGCGTCTTCCAAAGAAAACAAAAACCAAGCAACCAAAGTCCCATGGCGATCAGCGAGTGGCGACGGGGGCAGGACTGTGAAATCTGGAAGCCCCTAGTCACAGACTGGCACATGGGCGGTGGGTACGGACTCAGTCGTTCTACCTCAAGGTCCGAGGCAGTTGAGTAGTTCGGCAGCTGTATCCGCGACTGAGCAGCCCTATTGAGGACCCACTCTGCTCACCCCACATGGGGAGGGGGCTAGAAAAGGTGCCCTAAACATAGTCTGCCTCACTTATCCCTGACTGGACTGCCGCGTCCAGTGGGGTCACCACCCTGTGGCCAAAAAAGAAATATGAACTTCGGTACGTGGAACGTACGGACTCTGATGGACAACAGTGGCAGTGAATGCCCCGAACGCAGAACTGCCATCATTGCAAGGGAGCTGGGACGCTTCAACATCGACATAGCAGCCCTTCAGGAGACCCGGAGAGCAGGAGAGGGACAGCTGAAGGAAGAAAAAGGAGGCTACACCTTCTTCTGGAAGGGACTGCCCGAAAAAGACCAAAGAATGCACGGAGTTGGCTTTGCCATCAGGAATGATCTGGTGAAACATCTGTCCGAAGCACCCACTGGCATCAACGAACGACTCTCAACCCTCCGAATCGATCTTGCCAAAAACCAACGGGCAACCATCATAAGTGCCTATGCACCAAACACTAGATGCTGACGAAGACATCAAGGAGAAATTCTACTGTCAGCTGGATACCGTCCTATCGGGGATACCTAAGGAGGACAAAATCATCCTCCTGGGGGACTTCAATGCAAGAGTCGGGCGAGACTTCGACCTGTGGCCAGGGACCATAGGAAAAGACGGGGTTGGAAACAGCAACTCAAATGGCATCCTGCTTCTCACCAAATGTGCGGAGCACAACCTTGTCATCACCAACACGCTCTTCCGCCAGAAAAACAAGTTCAAGACATCATGGAAGCACCCCCGGTCAAAGCATTGGCACCTCTTAGACTATGTAATCACACGCGCCAGAGACCGCCGTGATGTGCTCCTCACAAGAGCCATGACAGGTGCTGATGACTGCTGGACTGACCACAGGCTAATTCGATCCTCGATGGCTCTCAAGATTGCCCCCAAGCGCAGACTCCAAGGAAGGAAGACAAGGCGCAAAATGAACACCCAAGCCCTTCAGGAGCCCTCCAGACGAGCCCATCTCCAAACAGCACTCAAGGACCATCTACCCACAGTACACCCCGAAAATGTTGAGGAACATTGGAACAAACTGAAGACCTCCATCATCCAAGCCTGCGAAGAAACTATTGGATACCAAGCCAAGAAACATCAAGACTGGTTTGATGAAAATGACATCGAGATCCAACAGCTAATTGACAAGAAAAGGAAAGCCTTCCAAGCATGGCAGAGAGACATCAACTGTGTTGCTAAGAAAAAGATCTATGCCAGTGCAAAAGCTGAGGTCCAAAGAAGGACAAGAGAACTCAAGAACATCTGGTGGACAAAGAAGGCTGAAGAAATCCAACACCTGGCAGATACCCATGATGCTCAGGGATTCTTCAAAGCCACAAAGGTCATCTATGGACCAAGAAACCATGGGATACAGCCTCTACGCTCATCAGATGGAACCAAACTCCTGAAGGACCAAAACTCAATTGCACTACGTTGGAAAGAACACTACCAAAGCCTCCTGAACCGCAGCTCCAATGTGGCCGAAGAGGTCCTCTCACAAATCCGCAACAACAAACCAGGGACGAGCTTGCAGCACTGCCTAGTTTGGAAGAAGTCAGCAATGCCATCAGCCAACAGAAGAATAACAAAGCCAGTGGACCAGATGGGATCCCTGCTGAAATCTTTAAAGAGGGAGGACCTGAGCTGACACACCAACTCCACCAGCTCATAGAAAAAGTGTGGGTGACCGAGAAAATCCCAGCAGATTTCAAGGATGCCACCATCATCACCCTCTTCAAAAAAGGGGAAAGAACAGACTGCGGAAACTATCGAGGTATCTCCCTTCTAACCTCCGCTGGGAAAATCCTCGCAAGAATCCTTGCAAACCGCCTTCTGCCCCTCTCAGAAGACACCCTCCCAGAATCCCAGAATGGCTTCCGCCCTTCCAGAGGAACAGTGGACATGATCTTCACTGCACGACAGCTCCAAGAAAAATGCAGGGAACAAAACCAACCTCTGTACATGGCATTCATCGACCTTGCAAAGGCATTCGACACAGTGAATCGCAGCGCTCTCTGGACCATCCTCCACAAAATCGGGTGCCCAAACAAATTTGTGAACATCCTGCGGCTCCTCCACGATGACATGATGGCAACAGTCTTGGACAGCAGTGGCTCCCAAAGTGACCCATTTAAGGTGGAATCAGGTGTCAAACAGGGATGTGTTATTGCCCCAACTCTATTCTCCATCTTCATCGCTATGATACTTCACCTTGTTGATGGGAAGCTTCCCACCAGAGTGGAAATCATCTATCGGACAGATGGCAAGCTATTCAACCTCAGCAGACTGAAAGCCAAAACCAAGGTTACAACAACATCTGTTATAGAACTCCAGTATGCTGATGACAATGTCGTCTGTGCGCATTCAGAAGAAGATCTACAAGCCACTCTAAACACCTTCGCAGAAGCATACGAGAAGCCCGGCCTGTCATTGAACATCAAGAAAACAAAGTGTTCTTCTAGCAGCCACCAGCTAATCCTTCCGCAATGCCAGAAATACAGTGTAATGGTGTAACATTAGAAAATGTTGACCATTTCTGCTACCTTGGCAGCCACCTCTCCACCAAAGTCAACATCGATGCCGAAATACAACACCGCCTGAGCTCTGCAAGTGCAGCATTTTCCAGAATGAAGCAGAGAGTGTTTGAGGACCGGGACATCCGTAGGGATACCAAGGTGCTTGTCTACAAAGCTATTGTCCTCCCAACCCTGCTATATGCCTGTGAGACGTGGACTGTCTACAGACGTCACATGCAGCTCCTGGAACGATTCCATCAGCGCTGCCTCCGGAAAATCCTGCAAATCTCCTGGGAAGACAAGCGGACAAACGTCAGTGTGCTGGAAGAAGCAAAGACCACCAGCATTGAAGCGATGGTCCTCCAACATCAACTCCGCTGGGCCGGCCACGTTGTCCGGATGCCTGACCACCGTTTCTCCCAAAGCAGTTGCTCTACTCCGAACTTAAGAACGGAAAATGGAACGTTGGTGGACAGGAAAAGATTTAAAGATGGGCTCAAAGCCAACCTTAAAAACTCTGGCATAGACACTGAGAACTGGGAAGCCCTGGCCCTTGAGCGCTCCAGCTGGAGGACAGCTGTGACCAGCAGTGCTGCAGAATTTGAGGGGGCACGAGTGGAGGGTGAAAGAGAGAAACGTGCCAGGAGGAAGGCGCGTCAAGCCAACCCCGACCGGACCGCCTTCCACCTGGAAACCAATGCCCCCACTGCGGAAGAAGATGCAGGTCAAGAATAGGGCTCCACAGCCACATACGGACCCACAAGGAAATCCATAATGGAAGACCATCTTACTCGTCCAACGAGGGATCGCCTAAGTAAGTAAGTAAGTAATATAATAATAATAATAATAATAATAATAATAATAATAATACATGGGATTTTAAATTCTATCTGATATATAGTAGAAAAAGAGATAAAAGAGTACAGCTAGCCATGGGTTCCACATCTGCAAATTCAATTAACCATGGATCAAAAATATTGGGGGAGGGGACAGTGCAAGATGTCTCATCATGCTTCAACTTGCTTGAGGCCTCTTGACATTACCATTGAAAACTATTCGGTTGCATTCCCCTGATGAGTGTAGGAAGCAGCTGGAGAAGAGGGAGGGAGGGAAAGAAGGAATGAAGGAAAGGGGGAGGAAAAAGAGGGGGTCAATCAAAGTGGAACTCCAAAAGAGTTATGGTAAACTGAAGCTTAGTGGAGCTGAGAAGCTGCCCTGGCTTCCCTTTGTGTGGTAGCTGATACACAAAACTGTTGAGTGGCTGGTCTCTTACTACTAGTTCTCAGGGTGGTGACTTTGAATTTCATGTATTTTGGTCTGCAAATGGTCCTGGAACCAATTGTCAACAGACACTGAGAGACAACTGTATATTCGGGTGTGTGAGTGTTTGTGTGTGTGTGTGAATTTTATTGTGATATATGAAAAACAGAAACACAATTTTCAAAATTTAAACAATCAAATTACAAACATTATTTCCCCAATCCCACCCACCCTCGTTCCCACCTGTGAACCATCACCCATGACTTCTGACACCACACCATATGGAACTAGTATGTAACATAACTCTATACTTATCATTACATTAATAAATTCTCCGTGTGGCTATTTCAAAATCTATTTTTGTTTCAAAGGGCTTTCTGAACTGTATTCTAATTCCACACAGCAATCCCTTTTCTGAAACCAAGATCATGGAAAAATCACTCTGGATGTTCACAAACCCCGTATCTAAGAAAAATTAATCCCTGGACTGAAACCTAAACTGCAATAAAATAAAATAAAATTCCAACTTCTTTTCCCATTCTTCATTATCCTCATCCACCAAAACTTTGAGATCACTGAAAGAGGCATTATTATCATTGTAGGAGACATATGAGTAATGGTCAGGGAGCCAATGAAACACAAAGCAATATCTTTTTCTACAGTTTTTGCTTAGATGCTTTGTAGTGATATAAAGATATTTGCTGACCTTTGATGATGTATTGGTTGATGTATTGATACTCTTACTACAGTCAACCTAGAAAAGAGGCAGAAACGGAAACAATAATGTAACCCAAAAACACATAGTTTATCAAATTTCTATAAATTTTACATACTGATTTTTTAAAATAAAAGACACACATGCTTACCTTTCTTTTGCAAATCTCAGGGGTGTCAATACATTTGTTTTCTCTAGCATCCCAGGTACAGTTAAATCGCTGACATTCGGAGCATCTACCAATGTATGGAGGGAGAATAATAAATGAAATTTGCAGAGATAAACAAAAATCAAGGGAGAAGGGAGTGTCAGCCAATATGACAATCTAAAGCAGGGTGGGAATGATGTTGCCCTCCAGTGTTATTAGATAGCATCAGAGCAGCTGTAAGTCCAACAACATCTGGAAGGATGTGCAATTTTCATTTCTGAACCAATAAAGGAGCAGAGAAGGAGCTACAGTTTTACACAGGTAGCTTTTATACTTCACATACTAATTATAATTAAATGTTTTTGTTTTCAATTGAAAGCAAAATCCTTTTACATATGACACAAGAAAACACAACATTTTATGACGGCATTCCTCCACAATCAGGCCAAAGGTCCCTTGAGTTCAATATCTTTTTTGCTACAGTTTAAAATGAGATACTTCTAGGAAGTTCATAAACATTCCTTCTGTCCCACCACCTTCATAGGAACGTCTGGTGTGGACATGGCAGAGGACCTTCTCAGTAGTTGTCCTCAGACTCTGGAACTCCCTTCCCAGAAAGGTTAAACTGGCACCTTCCCTACCCTCATTTTGTAGATGGGAAATCTAATTGAGAATACATTTATAATGTATAAAAAACCACAAACAAAGTTAAAAACTTAGCATTATACTAAATTTCCTTTGAGCAGGAAGTATCTCTGGTTATCTAAACTGACAGGTTGTCTTTATAGCAGGGATCCCCAAACTAAGGCACGCAGGACAGATGCAGCCTTCTAAGGGCATTTACTGAGCTGCTGACTAAAACTTTAGACTTAGGGGTGCCCTTAATCTGAAACCACTGGAAGGCACACAACAACAATCCTAATTAACTTGACTATCTCATCAGCCAAAAGGAGGCCCACACTTCCCACTGAAATACTGGTAAGTTTATATTTGTAGATTCCCCCTCCCCCTTCATTTTAAACATTGTAATGTTCTTTGGGGGAGTTGTATTACAAATAAGATATGCGCAGTGTACATAGGAACACAATCATGTTTTTTTTCAAACTATAGTCTGCCCCCCCCCCCCCGACAATTTGTGGGACCGTGAACTGGCCGTCTGTTTAAAAAGTTTGAGGACCCCCTGCTTTATACTGTATCAGTCAGGGTCATCAGCAAATGATAAAAATCTAAAGACTACTGCTACTGCTCTTCTTCTCTCAAAGAAATTAGTCTTTTTTAAAGGGGGGGGAGGGAGAGAAATGGTCTTCACAGAGAAGGAAGATCATATGAGATCACCATATCGATGACCCACAAAAAGGGAGAGAATTCAGAGAAGAAATTGAAAAACAAAACATGTAGTTCAGAAACCTCCCGAGGAACAACTAGAAGTTACGCTTTACAAAACCACATACTAGTAAATGTATCTTACGTTTTCTGTGATGAGCACTTATAAAATTCAAGTATTTCTGTTAAATGCCAAGAACCAGAGATGAGTGATACTTGAACTGGAAAAGAATAAGAACAAAACATTTCAATATATACATGTGAGTACTTTTGTGGCAACATAAAATGAAATACTTTGAGCCAACTTAAAATGGAAAAAACCTCATATTGCATTGTATTTGCCTCTTGATCAATAAATTATGTGCTTTATGACTCACTTTTATACTTCACAGTGAAAAATATGATCTATTAGGGACAGTCTTCGACACACTGATGCCTGATGATGAGGTATATGTTTTAGGCTTTTCCCGTAAAAAGGAAAGAGTAAAAGAAACTTCACATTTACCCCATACCTCAGATGATGCTATAAGGACAACACTATAGAAACAACCCTTTGCTTCTCCTACATCAATGGCTCTCAACCTGTGGGTCCCCAGGTGTTTTGGCCTACAACTCCCAGAAATTCCAGCCAGTTTACCAGCTGTTAGGATTTCTGGGAGTTGAAGGTCAAAACATCTGGGGACTCACAGGCTGAGAACCACTGTCCTACACCATCTAATACTTCAACCACTACATCATCATCATCATCATCTCTTCACTCAGTGCTTCTCACGAAGTTGATTGAAATCTATGAAGTCTCCTGCTGAAATCAATTAGTTTTAGAGATCTCATTAGATTCCCACCCCATGCCATTTTTGTTTAATCTGCAGTCTTCTAAAACACTTTAAAAAGATGGTTGGAACAGATTAATATACAGATGATCTGATTTGATTTTTAAAAACACTGGGAATTCAGGGTTTTGCTGAGAAGTGGGTTTTTATCTCACGAGGCAAATGTCAGGCAGTTAAGACAACTTCCCCAATCTAGTGCACAACCAATGAATGTGTAAAAAACCAAAAAAAAACCAAAGTAGGGCTTAGGCTTTCTTATAATTTAACCACAGATATTGCCTTGCCTTGTCTCTTTCCTCTTGTCACTCACAAGCAACATACAAAACCACACAGATTCTGAGCTACCTACTTCGAAGTCAAAGAGTTCATTTCTTTTAACTAGTAAGTGCCACTGAAACTATGTACAAAGACCTTACCGCGCCCCCCCCATCCCCCACACACTTTATTATGGAGCTCACTCCATCTTTCTCTCTTTTTCTCTCTCTTGTTCAGAGATCTGTATTATAAGAGGTTTCTCTACTGCCAGCATAATAAATCAGTACCTTTCTTCTCCTTTGGACCAGAAATGCAGAATTCCTCCCCCCTCCCCCCAAAGTTTTCTTTTTTGAAAAAAATGGAGTAGAAAGGAAATGCACTTGCTGATGTGATAAATTTGAATTGTTTCAGAAGAAAAGGCAAGGAAGAACAACATGTGATAAGGAATGACAGACAGAACTGTGTACTTAGTAATGCTACAGCATTAAACACCACAATTATATGATCCTCCCCATCCCTAATGGGATAAGGTCCTTAATCTCTCGTATCATTTGTCTGCTTGGAAGGGAAACCTAAATATTTCCACATCATTGTAGAACTCCATTTTAACATGCCTTAGCTAAGGGTATATGTATAAAACATGTCTGGCTCAGAGCATTTTGGATGAGAGCTACTCAATCTGTACAGAACTATAATCGTATGAGGTCAAAGGGCCAAAAAAGCTTTGCCACTCATTATTAAGTGTTCATATCTTAATCTAGACAAACTCTGATAACTCTTAAGTTTCCTTAACATTAATTTTTATGTTGCTTTATCTCTTAATTTATCTTATAATAATTGTATTTTGAATTGTTTTGTAAGGGCATTGAGTCCCACTCTGGGAGGCTGGCAACATGCAGATGCAACATACTTATAAATAAATAAATAAATCTGGGGAAAGAAACCATGGCTTGTTTAGTGAAATAATAACAGAACACACTGGTTTCCAATCCTTGTTTTTTTCTATGCCATGATTAAGATTAAACACGGTTGAGGACAATTGTGGGCAACACGTGATCTGGGGTCACTTGCAGCATCAAGGATGTTTCTGCAGAGTGTGAAAGAGTCCCAATCTCCTCTTCACAGTCAGAGCAAAGGAAAAAGAGAGTTAAGAAGTCTGGGTTCTATTCCCTTTTCCTATATTGCTAAAATGTAGCTATGCATTAAATCCAGAGAAGGCCTTAAATTCTACAATTAACACAAACTATGGTTGTACAGTATATCAAAACCAAGCATTCTCTTTTTTATGTTCTCATTTTGAAAGATAGGTAAAAGTGGCTATTTCTCTTAGGGAATAACCCCGAACTCTTACCTATATGCAAGTTGCATATACCTCTCCTAGACTTTTACTTTGAAAACCAGAGTGAAAGCACAACCACAGTTATAGCAACAAACATATTTCTCAACATTTTTGTCAGTTGCAAACACAAGTACGAAGTCTAGCATGGCTTGCAGAAGAAACAAGGAAGTGTGGTGCAACTCCTTCCTGCCCACCACTTCTCAAGAAAAATTTCCTTGAGGTCTGCAAAGCTTTTGGATGAAACATCTTAGTGTATTTGCTTGCTTTGATATAAGAAGTCTAGTGAGTGAGTCCTTCCACTTCTCCTTTGTCTTTTTACTTATCCAACACAAATGGGCCGGCAGAGAATTGGATAAGCGAAAATATTGGGTAATAAGGAGGGATTAAGGAAAAGCCAATTAAACATCAAATTACACTGTGCCTGACAGGAAAAATCTGTCCCCTCCGCATCTCGCCCCTCCTGGCGGGCGCCCGGCACATGGAGTGGCCCACTGTGCATTGCTGCCTAAATAAACAGTTGTGGATCCAGGCGGGAGGCAGAAAGCATTGGATAATACTGAACATTGGATGAGTGAAGATTGGATAAGCGAGACTCTATTGTAATTGCAATTCTAGGCCAAAAGGAAGAGTTGACGTAGGTTGTCCCGTCCCGTCCCGTCCCGTCCCCCCCCACTATTCCAAAGAATCATAGAATCATAGTTAGAAGAGACAGCGTGGGCCATCCAGTCCTACCCCGTGCCAAGAAGCAGGAAAATCACATTCAAAGCAACCCCAACAGATGGCCATCCAGCCTCTGCTTCAAAGCCTCTACAACACTCCAGGGCAGAGAGTTCCACTGCTGAACAATTCTCACAGTCAGGAAGTTCTTCCTAATGTTCAGGTGGTATCTCCTTTCCAGTAGTTTGAAGCCATTGTTCCACGTCCTAGTCTTCAGGGCAGCAGAAAACAAGCTTGCTCCCTCCTCCGTATCACTTCCCCTCGCATATTTATACATGGCCATCATGTTTCCTTTCTTACCTTACTAGCTCTTGTTAGGAGATGTAACAAGAAGATTAATTCAAAATAAATGTTGTTTTTTAAAAAAAATTAAGTACATTGCAATGTACAATACATGAAATAATTAATTCATGGATTTGTTTAATGAAGTAATAACTGCAAGAATCTTTAAAGGTCAGGCCATCCTAAATGACAAAATATATGTGCTTTTTTTTGCTTCACTAGAAATACAGGCAGAAAAGAAAAAGACTGGAAAAACATTGTCTCATCTCATCATTCTCTCTCTCAATTGTCTCATTTTCCACTACAGTCCCCTATTCCGGCTCTCAATGTCTCTATATAAAGGACAGAGAAATATGTCAGGTGACACAGATACCGTGTTAGGACAACATGCCTTTGTCTCTTAGGTCTGCACTCTTTAGCTGACAGGAACAGTTGATGCCTGGATTCTTCTTCTCACAAAGAATTGTGCCTGTCCTTGCGTTTTTCATTCTGCAATTGGAACGACCTTCAGAAAGACTGAAAGAACTTCCACTGGCTCTCACAGAAATCTAAATGAACATAAAAAGTGAGAACGATAATATTTCTTCAGCTCTAAGGAGACAGCCTGGAAAAAGTTCAAAAAATTGAATTAAATGAATGAATTAATTGTTTTTATGTCAAGCTGCTTTGAGTCCCCTTTGGGGAAATAAAGCAGGGGATAGATAGATAGATAGATAGATAGATAGATAGATAGATAGATAGATAGATAGATAAATAAATAAATGGCAAATGTTAGCCAGTCATTGAAAGATTAACTGGAAAAAATAAATTACAAAATATGGTGTAAAATAATTATTTACTATTTTATTAAGAGTTTTCTGAATAGCTGCCCAATCCCTCTCATTGCATATAAAAACCCTACTATAGTAGACTCTCAGATAACCAGCACCCATGGGAATGGGTAGATACTGGATAAATATGGTTTCTGGTTGCTTAAGATTTACTATTAAAAATACTATAACCCCTACTATTTTGTTGTTGTTCATTTGTTTCCGATTCTTTGTGACTTCATGGACCAGCCCACGCCAGAGCTCCCTGTCGGTCGTCACCACCCCCAGCTCCTTCAAGGTCAATCCAGTCACTTCAAGGATACCATCCATCCATCCTGCCCTTGGTCGGCCCCTCTTCCTTTTTCCTTCCATTTTCCCCAGCATAATTGTCTTCTCTAAGCTTTCCTTTTTTCTCATGATGTGGCCAAAGTACTTCATCTTGGCCTCTACTATTCTTCCCTGCAATGAGCAGTCAGGCTTTATTTCTTGAAGTATGGATTGGTTGGATCTTCTCGCTGTCCAAGGCACTCTCAGAACTTTCCTCCAACACCACAGTTCAAAAGCATCTATCTTCCTTCACTCAGCCTTCCCTATGGTCCAGCTCTCACATCTGTAGGTGACCATGGGGAATACCATTGCTTTAACTATGTTTTAACCCCTACTATACCATACCTTAAATTCTGTATTGGCTTGATACTGAAATGCAGTAATTAAGACAAACTTAATTTGGTGCAACACAGTTTCACTCTATTATAAAAACTGATTTTACTTTAATTTTTATGTAAAGTATTTTTTCTAATTTTTGCTGGTTGCTTGAGAGCTCTGGTTACTTGAGTTCTGGTTAACTGAGAGTCTACTGTGCAAAGTATAGCATTTCTATACTAATTTATATACTGATGGAAACCAGGACCAACAGGAATTACTTGCAAAGTCATTCCAAACCATGATTGCAGTAGTATTTATTTTCTCAAGAGCCCAATAGCCAAAACACATCACCATATGCCACCAATTTTTATTCTAAGCAGAGATTCGCTATCCATTGCCTCTCTGCCAGTTGACAGGCTCTCAGTCAGTGCCACCACATAAGATAAAAGCACAATGAAGTAATGCAAAAGTCACGTAAGACATTTAAAAGAACTACAGTTTTTAATGAGCAATTCTTATTCACATCAACCATACAACCACCAGTGATATGTAGCACAAGAACAGGAAGGAAGGAACAGAACTGCTTCAGAGGAAGAAAGAGGGCAGAGCATACATCCCCAGAAATGACTCTCAGTTTTGCTAACCAGAATTGACAAAGAGCCAGAATTAAGAGATAATCAGGTCTCACTCTCAAACTCAGGATGGTTGTTTTGTCTCATGAAATGAACCCAGGTTTTCTCTACATCTGCCACATCTGGCTGCCTTTGAACACTCATGTCCTCATGTTTCAGACATGTTGTTGTTTAAACTTTCCCTCCTTTTATATATTCTATGAATACAAGACACTACAAATTTATATATATAACTCTCCTGGCCAAATTTAGAGATACCACTCTCTTGGCGCCCTTCCACACAGCTGAATAAAATCCAACATTATCTGCTTTGAACTGGAATATTTGACACTGTGGACAGATATCCCAGTTCAAAGCTGATATTGTTGTTGCTAGCTATTTTTGTTATGTTGTTTTATGCTGTTTTATGCTGTTTTAATTGTTATTGCTTTATTTTAATTGTATTCTGCCTGGACTTGGGCCCCATGTAAGCCGCCCCGAGTCCCTTTGGGGAGATGAAGGCGGGGTAGAAAAATAAAGTTCTTCTTCTTCTTTTGAAGGAGCTGGGGGTGGTGACGGCCGACAGGGAGCTCTGGAGTGGGCTGGTCCAGGAGGTCACAAAGAGTCAGAAGCGACTGAACGAATAAACAACAACAAGAGAAAGAGCAGATGTTCTGGGGTTCAGGAGTAAATTTGGAATAGCAGTGAATAGTGAAGAAATTCATGCAGTGGTTCTGTATGAAGTTGGAGGCTTAAGAGAGGGGACCACAAGCACAATGTCTGAAAGCATTTCACCAGTTTTGACAGGTTATGGTTGAGGAGAAGAGAAAATAAGTAGGCAGACAGTAAAATTTCATGTTTGAACTAATAACACCTGTAGAAGCAGGAAACAAATAGCCTAAAAGGATCTCAAAGACCACAAGCCACATGCTGCTCAGCTGTACTTTAGGATGAAGTGAAAGTAATTATAGGAGACCATATTTTCCCCACTATCTTTTTTGTTGTTTACATTTGTAAAGCACCACTTTGCTAAGAAATGTTTTCCTTCAAAGTCCCAACAGAGGAGTATGAATTGCCTTATTGATATACTAAAATAACTGTATATTTAATTTAACTAAAATAGTGCATGGATGGATAACCTAACTACTATTTTAACCAATCCCACTTGTTCTTATTAGCCTTATACTCTAAGTGATTAAATGCAAATAAAATACGTATAACATACCTCACCTCGGTCAAGATTAGATGTGTTGATTTTCAGGCATTTATCTGTTCCATATGAAATGCTTGCCCAGTTCAAGGACTTATTTGAAAATTGACATTCTCCTTTTAAAGTACAGCTGAAGAAAATCAAAATTATGTGTGTCAGAGATATAGCATGTTCAGGTTTTCATATAGGAAACTTCACTAATTTCAAATCCCTTGATAAAGTATATCTCCTCTAATTATGAATTTCCATACTATCTGCTCAACCTTCAATAAGTTGACAGAATTCTACAGATCTAAAGCCTGAGCAGAAGTCATTCAAACAATTGGTCTATTGTTTTGTTTTAACATCTCTAACCTGTCTAGCTATGAATTCAGATTTTTTTTGTACAATTCAAATTTATTTATTTATTTACTTTGCTTATATACCGCTGTTCTCAGCCCGGCTTGCCATTACATAAAAGTTAAAAAGCTTAGAGAGCACACATAGGATTGAAGCATATTGGAGGTGTCAGAAGTAACAAATTGGCGGTGAATAAGAAAGAGGGGCAGGTAAGATGCAATCTAGTGCCTGCTACTAGCTTGAGAAAACCCTTGTCTTTCAAGGGTTGAGATTTAAGAAACTAATAGGGATTTTCATATTAGGTTCTTGTGGGTTTTTTCGGGCTATAGGGCCATGTTCTAGAGGCATTTCTCCTGACGTTTCGCCTGCATCTATGGCAAGCATCCTCAGAGGTAGTGAGGTCTGTTGGAATTAGGACAATGGGTTTATATATCTGTGGAATGGCTGGGGTGGGGCAAGAAGCTCTTCCTTGCTGGAGCTAGGTGTGAATGTTTCAACTGATCACCTTCATTAGCATTTGAAGGCTTGGCTGAGTCTGGGAAAATATCCTGTTGAGAGGTGTTAAGATGTGCCTGGTTGTTTCCTCTCTGCTGTTTTGCTGTTATAATTTTAGAGTTTTTTAATACTGGTGGCCAGATTTTGTTCATTTTCATGGTCTCTTCCTTTCTGTTGAAATTGTCCACGTGCTTGTGGATTTCAATGGCTTCTCTGTGGATTTTCATATTATTTTTATTTTAGACAGATATTGGTTTCTACTGTAGATTCCATTCTGATCAGACAGGAATATTTGTTCAAACTGAATGGATTACTAATGCAAGTATTTAAATAAATACTTTGATTCTATGACCAGAAGAAGGAAGAGGTAAAAGAAGAAAGGCCTCCATATTGCACAGGATGAAGGGTTTATGTTTCCCATTGCGTAGACCACAAGAAACAGAAGATCTGCAAAAGTGTCAAGGAAGAGTGCTTCCTCACCACAAATATCCCATAAATATCAAATAACATAACAGAAAGCTGATAGATTGGCCAACTAACCTCTTCACTGGTGCAAAGAGGATGTGCCAAAATGAGATCGATGGCCCAGTTTGCTGCACAAGGAAATGAATGCAAGGGCTTAAGAGCTGTCTTATGATCTAATGCTATTTTGAATTATTTGTGAGTTGGACTTCAGGTTTTTACTTACCAGATAACCAGTATGGTATAGTACTTTGAGTGTACTTTGAGGGTAGGGGTGCATCTACACTGAAGAATTAATGCAGTTTGAGACCACTTTAACTGCAGTAGCTCAACGCTATGGAATCCTGGGTTTTATAGTTTGGTGAAGCACTAGCACTCTTATGGAGAGCAGGCAGAAGATCTAGCAAAACTAGAATTCCCATATATCACAGAATAGAGCCATGGCATCAAACTGAATCAATTTGATGAACCCTAGGACTAGGGGGAGAACAGGAATTGAATCCTCGCTGAGCCATGGAAACCACACTCAGTCACACCCTCAGTTTTTGGGGAAGACAAAGGCAAACCTTTCTGTGATTGGTTCATTTTAGGATCTTCATAAGTCAGAACCAAGTTAAAGGCAAACAACAACAATAACAACATTCTACTTGTTAGCCCAGTAAAAAAATACTGACATGCATAGTTACCTGGGCAAATCTTGTGTTGCCTTTAGATATTACATTAGCCTTCTTAGCGAGTAGCACCTTGGGGAGAAATATTATGAAACATGATCTCAAATCGATCCAATGTTTCTTTATAAAACCCCTGAATACAGTCTTAAGCTACTAGGAATGAAAGATTAATGATAATGAAACATTTATTTCTATGATCCCAGCAAGCAGAAAGAAATACCTGCTGTTTAAATAGCACCATCCACAGTGTGGGTCCAATGCAGATAAACATTCTTGACACGAAATATATTTGCTGCAATTTGCAACTTTAATTCTTCTTATCTAAAACACAAACGGTAGATTTTTGGAAAAAATTAATCAACCTTTCCAAATTAATAACCCCTTCAAAAAACCAACAAAAAAATTATGAAAAAGGATACATTCAAATGTGCTTTCATGCAAGTGTGTAAGTAGTGCAATCTGGCATCCTGGGTGCACCATAATTGGGAATTATTTTTCCCCATTTAAATTAGATTTGTGTGCTAAATCAAGAAACATACAGATGATCATTAGTTAATGCACATCCCATGAGTGCTGAAAGCAAAGAGCAACTTATTTTTGACTGTGTTTATGTTGTGCTACTGTCACGAGACAGCAGGGTAATAAATAGATTGAAAACTAAAATGGATGTAGCCTTCAAGCCATCTACACTCCATTTCTAAGAAAGGTTGCCAAGCCAAGTGGTTGTCTTCAATTCATGTTATATTTTAAATCGAGAGTCTTTCTGTCTACCCACTGCTTTGGCTTTTGGCCTGGAAGGATTTTAGTTGTGGTCCTTCACGATGATATCTGACCAGCAAGGGCATCTGCACTCTATTAATCCCATAAATTTTCCTAAAGTCTTTGACACCACATTATATAAATGACAATACCATAGCAGATCTGATGTGATAGATGTTGAGAAATGTAGAAAGTTCTAACAATTCTCTGTAGATTTGGGGGGAAGGAAATGGACAAATACACAGAGATTGATAAAACTGCAAATGTTCTAGACAGCATAGCCAATACTGGAAATAGCATTGCAATAACATCTGGACAATTGCATCCATACATCTATCCTGCAGCCCTTTGATTTTCAATAACCAAGAGCTGTATCCTCCTATGGGAATACTGTTATGAATCCAGCCTTTTCTCTTGTTTACATCAACTTGGCCTTAGAGTCCAATTTCACAGGCAAGACAATGCAATTCAATTATACTATGGTAAACAGAGTGGTAGCTAATCTCTTAAATTACAGAGATCGAGTTAAATCACTTGCAGAGTCTAGGTTTTCTATTTTCCAGAAATCACCCTCTTGATAGTCAAGACTCTATTTTACAGAGTAATAGTCAAGTTTGAAGAACATCTGCTGGATTTCAGTTAATCAGAATTTGGGCAGATGAAGTTGTAATACCCAGCTATGAAAGTATCACTCTTACTGGAAACTACAAGATGGCAGAAAAATAACCATTCTAGCTATTATGAATGATATAAATTGGCTTATGCCTGCTGCCTGAACACTACAACCAAACACATGTCTTGCATGACATCAAATCATATGCCATGGTTTCTCCTTAGCTTATGATCTTGGCCTTATAGAAGAGCCAAAAAGCAGTGCAAGTTCTAGGCATCACAATGAGGAAACAACAAGCAGAAAGCCCATGGTTTGTTTATCAATTTCTGCTTCTTGGTGCCTCCCACCTGTTGACCTGCATTGCTTGCTGATACGTGTTGTTGTTAATTGCGCTAGTTCACTTTGACTGAATGCTATGAAGGAAAGGTCTCCAAAGATTTTACCACACCAACTTGTTGCACTTTCACAATAATGTTTAAAAAAACTGAAAAATACCATTATTTCAAAAAACTCTTTCATACTTCGGTGCAACTGCACTTTGTTGGATATTAATTCCTACTAGTTATATTCTGCATAACCTCGCTTTCTCTGTGTGTTTGCCCCGCCCAGTGCATGTACGCTATGTTTTTTTCCTTATTTTTCTTTATTATCCCCCCCTCCCCACAACTTGGCCGCAACTGTGCAGTTTCGGTGTTCTCATGAGATCTTCCTCTGCATTGCAATACTGAGACTGTAGCAGAATATTATTTCACAGGAAAGGACACTTGAGCAACAGTAACACTGGTTTCAGTCACTGGATTTTTCCATCAATAAAAAGAGATAATCCAATCATGAATCAAGTACAATGAAACTATGAGACACCCACAATATTATGTAGTATGCCTCAATCGACAGGTATATTTATCCTGTTGCAATTACACTTTAGTAGTTCATGTGCTATAGTCCCAAGTCACCATACCATCAAAAGCCATGCTTAGATCTTGAAGATTCAGGGCCATGGCTCCTTGAAAGAGCGTATCCATCTGGAATGTTAACAAATGTGGCCCATAATTTATAAATCATCATTCAGAGATAATTTTAGCTTCTCACAACATGTCAGGCAGGCATTTGATTCCCTGAAAGAGTAAAACAGTGGTCAACAAACCTCATTATTAGATGGCAGATAGATGTAATCCTCATTCACAGGATCAAGTTCAAGTTTATGAAAAACTGCTGATTCTTCTTTAATTTCGTATAAAATCTCTGGGCAATTTGGGTTCATGTTGTCATCAAGAATAACCTAGAAGTGTAGCAAATTTAAAAATAACCATCATGGACTTGCAAATAGTAAAGGAAACAGTAGCTAATCTCCCTTCCCCACTGAGATATATATGGATCCACCATTATTCAATCTTTCTTCTGTCCTTAAAGAGCTGCTGTTTTGTTTTTAAAGACAGAAAGAGTGAGCAAAAGTCTCAATGAGTCTGCTATGCTTCTTGATCTGCATGTATGGAACTTGGGTTGTTTAGTCCAAGTTAGAACACTTTGAGGACTGTGAAACTAGGGCAGTGGAAGAAAGTGAAAAGAAAACTGTGTGTGAACTTTCCGCAGCCTTTGATAACTGAGCTAAAATATCAATAGTTTTAATCTATACACACATATACATATGGGCCCATATTCCTCAAAATCACTAGATCCCATATGATCTTGGAATAAGGGTCAGCCATGGTGACTACTGGAGCCTCCGGTGGCACAGCAAGTTAAACTGCTGAGCTGCTGATCTTGCTGACCAAAAGGTCAGTGATTCAAATCCGGGGAGTGGGATGAACTCCCGCTGTTAGGCCCAGCATCTGCCAACCTAGCAGTTAGAAAACATGCAATTGTGAGTAGATTAATAGGTACCACTCCAGCGGGAAGGTAAAGGCGCTCCATGCAGTCATACTGGGCACATGACATTGGAGGTGTCTACAGACAATGCCAGTTCTTCGGCTTAGAATTGGAGATGAGCACCAACCCCCAGAGTTGGACATGACCAGACTTAATGTCAAGGGAAAACCCTTACCTTGACCTATGGTGAGTACTTGGATGGAAGACTGCCAATGAATAACAAGTACTCTAGGCTAAACTTCAGAGAAAGGAACTAGCAAAATATTCTGAAGCTGAGAGTTATTATTATAATTATTATTTATTTACTTTACTCCTGCTTTTCTCCCATGTATGGAACTCAAAGCGGCGTCTAAAAAGAAGACAACTACATAATACAGAAAAACAATAATCCCATCCACCCAATCATCCCACCCACCCAACATGTAAACAATAAATCCACACCTAAGAAAAGTCTACGACATGTATGGGGTGGCTATATGTTGACAAGTAATTTGAAGCACATATATGAAATTACCAGCATAATCATTACTCTTATCATGGTTTGTTATGCTGATAGGTAATGCAGAACTATTAAAATTAGTTACTGAGATGTTCACATTTTCATCTCTCTCTCTTTTGCCAAGTGATCTTGTCAAACTTTTGAGACTGACTGAAAGAAAGAAATCTGCAGCATTAGCATTCATTGTTTGGGGTCTACTTCATCAGATGTAGGCAAAAGGTTTCCCCTTGACATTAAGTCTAGTCATGTCCAACTCTGGGGGGGGGGGTGCTCATCTCCATTTCTAAGCTGAAGAGCCGATGTTGTCTATTGACACCTCCAAGGTCATGTGGCCAGAACTACTGCATAGAGCGTTGTTGCCTTCCCACAGATGCAGTTCCTATTGATCTACTCACATTTGCATGTTTTCAAACTGCTAAGCTGACAGAAGCTGGGCCTGACAGCGGGGGCCCACCCTGCTCCCCGGATTCAAACAGCCAATCTTTCGGTCAGCAAGTTCAGCAGCTCAGTGGTTTAACCCACTGCACCATCAGATGTATACCACTGACCACCTGCTGCAATGCACCCTGAGCCCTGCCACATGCACGATGGAGGACCTTCTTGCGGCAACCCCAGAGGCACTCCAAGTGGCCAGATACTGGTCAAAGGACATTTAACCAAATACCAAATTTGCAAAATCTGTGTGGGTTTTTTTTCTTTCTTTTTTTTCTTTTTCTTTTTAATCTCTGTGTTTGTTTTGCTCTGTTAGAATTGTAATACAATGGTTGCTGATGACACGATAAATAAAATAAATCAGATGTATACGAGTAATAAAAAGAGATTAAATGATAGTGGGTTTGTAAAATGTTTTATGCTATCAAAAACATACAGACACTATAAAATGCTTGGCATTTTAGCTCAGTAACCGAAGGCTGTATTTCTTTCTTTCATTCTCCTAGATTTGCAGTCCCAGATGCATTTGATGAAGATGATCTAGTTTATGAAAGCTTATGCTGAAAATTTATTTCTCTTGGTTAATATCAAAGGTGCTACAAAATCCCTTTTCCATAGTGATACAAAGCTATGTCTTTGATTCTCTCTTCTGCTGGAGGAAGGGATGTATTATCCTATATAGTCTGTACTACAAATAATACTACTCAGATGAAAACATATCATTTTTTTTCTTTTGGAAAATACATACATTGAGTTCAAGAGCTTTCCCCATAAATTTCAGTGAATGGATAAAATCTAAACCAGTGTTTCCCAAACTTGCTTTCAGGTGTCTTAGGATTTTAGTTCCCAGAATCCCTGATCATTGGACAAAACAGTTTCTAGGAGCTTAAATCCAAAACACCTGGAGGATTTGAGTTTGGAAATCACTTCTCTATACACACAGGTGTATATCACAATTGGCTCTCACCATATAAATAAATGGGAAAAACACATATGGAATCTGAGAGTTTTTAAAAGACCTGGCCTGTTCAATATTAATGATGCGGTTTCTCACATGAATAAAAATTATTATATTTATTATCTTTGTTTATACTCTGCTCGAAGGAATCTCAAAGCAGTTTACATTAAAATAATTTAAATACATTAAAAGCATTTCAATACAAAAACAATGCATATTATTCAGTTTTACTTGAATCTATGAACTGATTAAAACATAATGGTTCATGGAAGAAACCTACCTTCAGTAATTGTCCGTTTGCTGTCCCCAAAAACAAAACTGTTTTGTTCAAAACTATAGTAGCATAAACTGACACCAAGCTGGAGTGCTCCAGGGAAGTTAAGTTATTTAATGGCCAAGCAGGGGTCTTCTGAAAAGTCAAATACAGAAACAAACCAAAATTATGAATATACATCTTTAAATGAAATCTGCAAGATATTATTTGCAAACAGGCATCAAGCTTTTTTGGATTATTTTCTCCTAAAAAGAACCCAAGATGGCTCACACATGAATTAAAACAAGGTACAAAAATTAAATAATAATAATAAATATTTTAAAATCAGTTAAATTAGCTGTCACATCAAGACTTTGAAAGAATGCAAAATCAATTAATCAGATTACCAAATTTAGATGTTTCTATTTCCAGGACGCTTTGACACATTATTCCAAATTTTTATTTAACAGGCCTACTGGGCTGATTAATTCCGCCTAAACATTAGGAAGAACTTTCTGATTGTAAGAGCAGTGATATATGCTGCTTTGGTGGGTTGTGGTGGAGTTTTCTTCTCTTGAAGTTTTTAAGCAGCCACTGGTTGGCCATCTGTTGGGAGTGCTTTGATTGTGTATTCCTGCATGGCAAGGTCTTTGTGGACTCTTCCAACTGTATGATTCTAGTTATTACATTAATCAATCTAACTCAGTGGTTCTCAATCTTCCTAATGCCGCAACCTCTTAATACAGTTCTTCATGTTGTGGTGACCTCCAACCATAACATTATTTTAGTTGCTACTTCATAATTGTAATTTTGCTACTGTAATACATCATAATGTAAATATCTGATATGCAGGATGTATTCACTGGGCCAAATTTGGCAAAAATACCCAATACTCTCACATTTGAATACTGGTGAGGTTGGGGCAGTGGGGGGATTGATTTTGTCATTTGAGAGTTGTATTGCTGGAATTTATAGTTCTCCTGCAATCAAAGAGCATTCTGAACTCCACCAACAATGGAATTGAACCAAACTTGGCACACAGAACTCCCATGACCAATGGAAAACACTGGAAGGGTTTGATGGGCATTGACATTGAAGTCTGTAAATAAACCAACTATGTTACTTTGAAAGAAGTATGCTTATTTTTGTCTCTTGAGAGCATGATTTAAACCAAGATGTTTTAGAGGAGAGTAGATGTTTTTTGGGCAACTGAAATAACACTTCTGAAACTCTGCTATATATGTGTGTTTTGTGCATTGGCATATCTTTGTCCCTAAAAGAACAAAGAAATGTCTAAGTTTATCATTCTAATAGCTGATAAACCTGATTGCCTTGCATGGACCCCATTTTCCCAAAAGGTTATGGCTCAAACAGGTCATGCTTTTACCAAGAAGTTATGGCATCATTTTTCAAAAGGTTGTGACTTCTAACAAGGTCATGCCTTTCCAAAGACCATGAAATCTCCAAAAGGTTATGGAGATTTCCATTTTCCAAAAATGCTAACAGGATTACTTTAGGGCAAATTATTTACCATGCTTGATCTATTTGTTGGTGTGACTTGATACAATTCTAGCAGAGTACAATTCTGCCCTGCAAGGCTTTTAAGGCAACAAGACATTACAGCAGCAAATTGTTCTTTGACTCAAGAGTACTTGCAGCCATTTGTGCTTTAATACTTAATAAAGGATGCATCTTAATGCACAACTGGCATTTCCCCCCGTTTCATCACATAACACAAACTTTAGCATATAATTTTAACTTGAAAAGCCTTCTTTGGACAATTGTTGCATAACTGTGTTTTGCCACTGCAAACCAAAGTTCTTACTTCTCATGTTGAGTAATGTCACAAGGTCTTCTTTCACAAAACTCCAACAAGCTGGCTATAATATCTTAGTAACCCTGTTTCTGAGTCAGCCAACAGTCAGCATTTAAGGCCTACTGATTGCAATTAGAAAGCTGACCAAGTACTTAAATAGTGCTTATTGTTGATTGTTTTACAGCAGAATGATATCTGTCAACTCTTTAAGAATGTAAAAGCCAAGTATCTAAGTATATTTCAGATACCACATGTGCCAAACAGAAATCTGGCCCACCATATCATTTTACGTGGCTCTCCAGATGCTTGACTACTACTCCTTTATTTCTCATCATTAGATTTCATGATTAGAGCTGGTGGGAGCTGTGATACATTAGCTGGAAGGCTGCAGTTTGTTCTGTTTAGTCAGGAGAATGGGGTTTGAATTTAGATACAAGGCTTGTAGATATGTCTGACTTTAAAATTTCCCCACACCAGAGCCACTAATGTTGTTGGGTTGCAATTCCCATTATCTTTAGTCTGCATGATGGAGAATCAAAAGTGATGCGAGTTGTCATTCAATAACATCAGGAGACCCAAACTGGGTAAAAACTAAAGAGTACTGACCATTATGTTAAAAATATATAGTTGGCTCTCTGTATCTAAGGATTCACCATCCATGGATTCAATGGCCCGTTGAAGGTTTATGTGGGCCTTAAAGAAAATGAGTTTGATACTCCTGCTCTATACATTTGCAAGAGTGCTAAAATCAGATTGCTTATGTACACTAAGAAAAACTGGATGCAGATCAAGATGATGACATGGGCAATGTTAGACTTTGACTGAGGAAACATAGTTTTAAATCCCCACAAAGCCAATTGCTCTGACTTAGCCTGATTTACCTTGCAACTGCTTGTATGATGTGAAGAACGTGAAGTAGATAACATGCCTGAACTTCTTGAGGGGATGGTGGAATAAAAATAACATTTGGCCAAGGTGCCCAACTAAAGCATTATGAGATTATTCTTGGAATTTGGGGGCCAACACCACATTGCAAAGATAAAGCAGACCAGACTGTTTTCACAATGCATCATGATTATATGAGAAATAAGGTTGAACATTGTGAAAGCCACCCATTATATGGCTATCAGTCTCCTCCCAGTAGACTTAAATCAAGGAAAAGTTTCATGAGAACCACCACTCCTCTAAATGTTCCTCCAGCAACAGCAAAAATATCCCTGTGGGCAGCAAAATCAGGCAATTCCAACTGGATCCCCCCTCCCATGAGGGTCTTCCTCCAGGGGCAAACCAAGAATGAGCAACTTGGAAGTCACTGAACAGACTTAGGGGCGGAGTTGGCAGATCAAAGGACAACCTGGCAAAATGGTACTACCTAGCAGAATCCTCCACTTTGTGTGACTGGAGTAGAACAAACAACTCAGCATCTGTATGCTTGTCCACAATGCCCTGCATCATGCACAGAGGAAGAATTGTTTAAAGCTACAGAATGCAATCGCTGTTGCCTGTTTTTGGTCTAAAACTATCTAGCACCTTGTGATCCCTTTATTTTATCAGTTGTGGATAAACTATTTTATGCAATGCTTTTGACACAAAACAAATAATGATTACGTGAGTGTTACAAATACAGAAGTGGGTTGCTAGATGTGCAGTGCAATTTTAGATATTGGGAATGAGGAACTCTGTAGTTGGCAAGAAATTATGAGAACTACTATTCAAAATATCAGGGCAGCCTAAGTTTCACCATGCCTGCTACAGATGTGCCCAAACAAAGCCCAACTGAACTTAGTATGAAAGTTCAGGCCAGATGTGCATGGGATAGTACTCTAATCTGTTTTCAACTTTGTTATGTTGTGTATACACAACAAATGTACCACTATATGCATTAGGAACCCACTGTTTCTTTGCACATATATAGAGAGACTGACCTAAGTAAACTCTGATGTTCAGCATCATAATGTTAAGTTGGAATACTTTGAAGATGTTAGGCAGAATACAGGAGGAAGCTAACAGACAGAGACTGTCACATGTTTAGTGTTCATAACCTATAAAACATATGCACAAAACTGATAGAAAACTTCTGCCCTGTTTGCTAGATTCACCCCACAGAAGATCCTGATCTGGCCTACTTTTTTCTCTTTTTAAAGTGCAGAAGATTTTGCAGAGAACACTGAACCCACCACATTTGGCACACAGACCCAACACGGCCAACTGTGCATACAGGTGGGGTTTGAGGGTGATTGACATTGGCACCGGGGAGTTATAGTTCACCCACATCCTGAGAACACTGAACCCAGCCGACGTCGGATCTGGACCAAATTTGGCACACAGATCCAACACGACCTACTGTGCATACAGGCGGGGATTGGGGGTGATTGGCATGGGCAGTGGAGAGTTATAGTTCGCCCATATCCTGAGAACACTGAACCCAGCCGACATCTGATCTGAACCAAACTTGGCCCAGGATGGCCAACTGTGAATACTAGTTGAATTTGGGGAGAATTGGCCCCAGATTTTTTGGAATTGTAGTTCACTCACATCCTTATGCATTTTCTTATGGGAAAATTCATAAAAAACAAAAGCAGAGACTTATTTTTTCCCCTAAGAAACAGAGTAACATATGACCAAACTGATACTATCTAACATCCAAAAACAAAAATGCCTTTTTCAAATAACATGAGCACCACCAGGTTCCCAAGCTAGTGCACTAATGAAGCTGTGACAGAAATTTCCCCATCTTCTCTTCCTCTTTTGCAGAAAAACATCATATGGACTGGAAAGTTGTCTCCCATTTTTGGAATTTCCTACTGGTTTCCTAAATCCCCACCATGAACTTCAAAACTGATATCGAAACAGGTCACTGATGTTGTGAGGAAAGGCAGGAATCATAGTTGAATGCTTAAACCACTACACTAGACATGGGCAAACTTCGGCCCTCCCTCCGCGTGTTCAGACTTTAACTCCCGCAATTCCTAACAGCCTTGGGCCCTTTCCTTTTCCTGGTGGAAAAACTTTTCCTGCAGGAAAAGGAAGGAGCCCGAGGCTGTTAGGAATTAGAATCATAGAATAATAGAGTTGGAAGAGACCTCATGGGCCATCCAGTCCAACCCCCTGCCAAGAAGCAGGAAAATTGCATTCAAAGCACCCCTGACAGATGGCCATCCAGCCTCTGTTTAAAAGCTTCCAAAGAAGGAGCCTCTACCACACTCTGGGGCAGAGAGTTCCACTACTGAAAGGCTCCCACAGTCAGGAAGTTCTTCCTAATGTTCAGATGGAATCTCCTTTCTTGTAGTTTGAAGCCACTGTTTTGCGTCCTAATCTCCAGGGCAGTAGAAAACAAGCTTGCTCCCTCCTCCCTATGACTTCCTCTCATATATTTATATCATGTTTCCTCTCAGCCTTCTCCTCTTTCAGGCTAAACATGCCCAGCTCTTTAAGCCGCTCCTCATAGGGCTTGTTCTCCAGACCCTTGATCATTTGAGTCGCCCTCCTCTGGACACATTCCAGCTTGTCAATCTCTCTCTTCACTTGTATTGCCCAGAATTGGACACAATCTTCCAAGTGGGAGGGCTGGAGGGTTTGCCCATGCCTGTTGTGCCACACGGGGTGGCTGCTGCAGCCCAGCCCTCCCGGCCCTCCTCCCCGCTACTCACGCAGGTGCCCGAGTCGGAGTCGGAGTCGGGAAAATGGATCTCGGCCGCCGTGCCTTGGCTGCACTTCTGCACCTGGGTCAGGATGCGCTCCAGCGGGAAGAGGCAGACGGCCGTGGCCCCGGGCGCCCCTTCTTCGGCCGCCTCGAAGAGCCCGACCCAGAGGCCTTTGGGCTCCAGGAAGGAGGAGGAGAGGATGCGCGCCCGTGACCCGCACCGCAGGATGACTTGCCCTTTCAGGTCGAGGGGATCGTCCGGGTCCCGCTTGACCACCAGCATCTTGGGCTCCACGCTGAGGTTGCGGTGGAAGTAGGGGAAGAAGAAGTACTCCTTCCAGTGCAGGACGGCCGAGAAGTTGAGGTAGTGCTCGCCGGCGAGCTTCAGGTACTGGTTCTCGCTCACGCCCTTCCCCTCGCTCGTGACGAAGACGGCCGTGGTGGCGTCGTTCCGGGACAGGATGCTGCTCTCGGCCCCGCAGGCAGAGACCGAGGCGTTGGGGCGCGTGTGGCTGGTGCCCACCCAGAGGACCCACTGCCCGGCGCCCGTGCGGTCCAAGTGCATCAACCCCGCGGAAGAGACGCCCGGCAAGGAGCTCACCAGCTGATTCCCGAAGGTCCGGGTGGCGTTGGGGCCCCTGGCGCGGTCCTCCCGGAGGCAGAGGCAGCCCGGCCGCGTCCAGCAGGTCAGCAGCAGGCGGCTCTCGTTGCCGAAGGGCAGGAGCAAGATGTTGGTGGCGTCCTTGGCCTCCTGGCACCGGCCCACCGACTTGGAGGACAGCGAGGGCTCCACCTCGTACCAGCACCGCCCGCTGGCCACCAGCAGCTTCCCCTCGGCCACGGCCAGGTTGTCGATGCTGGAATCGAAGGAGAGGACGGGCGGAGGAGGAGGAGGAGGAGGAGGGCTCCCGGCCAAAGTCCAGGACAGAGAGGAGAGCAGCCACGCCGCCGCCCACGCTGCCCCTCCGGCCATGGCCTTGGGCTTGCCTTCGAGCGGCGCCACCGGCAAGTGTGCCTCCAGCATTGAAGGCGGGCACCTCCTCCTTGCCTCCCTCCTCCCTTTCTCTCTCTCTCCCTCTGGTTTCCTCCTCCGCGGAGGAGCAGAAGTTCCTTTTCTTGGTGAGGAGCCCGCTTCAAGGCTTTCCCCCGAGGCTCTTCTCTGTCCACGCCTTTCCCCACCTTCCAGAGGAGTGGCTCCGTCCTCTGGAGACTGGCCTCTAGGGGTGAGGAAGCGAGCGAGGGGGCTCAAGAACACCTTCCCCTGCTTGCATTTATTTCCTGTCAAAAGCACTGCATAAAGAGATAAGGGTAAAAGTAATAAAATAAATCCAGTTTGGGCACATCTGTAGCAGGCATGGGGAAGCTTGGACTGCCCGGATATTTTGAATAGTAGTTTTCATGGTTGGAGGAAAATTCTGAGAGGGCCTTGGACCGGGAGAAGATCCAACCAGTCCATAGAGACATCACACTGGCAACAAAGATCTGCATAGTTAAAACAATGGTATTCCCCAAAGTCACCTACGGATGTGAGAGCAGGACCACAAGGAAGACTGAGCGAAGGAAGATAGATGCTTTTGAACTGTGGTGCTGGAGGAAAATTCTGAGAGTGCCCTGGACTGCAAGAAGACCCAACCAGTCCATACTTCAGGAAAGAAAGCCTGACTGCTCATTGGAGGGAAGGATATTAAAGGCAAAGATGAAATGCTTTGGCCACATCATGAGAAGCTTGGAGAAGACAATGATGTTGGGGGAAATGGAAGGAAAAAGGAAGAGGGGCCAACCAAGGGCAAGATGGGTGGATGGTATCCTTGAAGTGACTGGATTGACTCTGAAGGAGCTGGGGGTGGGGACAGCCAACAGGGAGCTCTGGCATGGGCTGGTCCATGAGGTCATGAAGACTCGGAAGTGAGTGAACGAATAAACAACAACAAAGTTTTCATAATTTCTTACCAACTACAGAGTTCCTCGTTCCTGATATAAAAGGTTGCACTGCACACCTAACAACCCACTTCTGTATTTGCAACCTTATTGTAGCACTCAATAATTATTTATTTTGTGTCAAAAGTGTTGTGTAAAATAGTTTATCTAAAACGGATAAGATAAAGGGATCACAAACTGCTAAATAGATTTAGACCAAAAACAGGCAACAGCAACTGCATCGCCTGTAGCTTTAAACAGTTCTTCCTCTGTGCATGAGGCAGGGCATTGTGGACAAGCATATAGGTGTGGAGTTGTTTGTTCTGCTCCAGAGTCGCACAAAGTGGAGGATTCTTCTAGGTTCTCAGCCTGTGGGTATCCAGATGTTTTCGCCTTCAACTCCCAGAAATCCTAACAGCTGCTAAACTGGCTGGGATTTCTGGGAGTTGTAGGTCAAAACACCTGGGCACTCACAGGTTGAGAAATACTGTTCTAGGTATTTCCATTTTGCCAGGTTGTCTTTTGATCTGCCCACTCCACTTCTGAGTCTGTTCAGGGACTTCCACATTGCCCATTCTTGGTTTGCCCCTGGAGGAAGACAGAGAGTCATAGCAATTGGCTTTTTGGGTTACTTGGGGGGGGGGGTTATAGCCATGCAGAAGATGGCTTTCACAGTGTCCAACCTTATTTCTCTCACAATTGGCAGCAACTTCCTGTCACACATTTGGGGGGGGGCAATGCTAGCTAGCTTATAGAGTCTATCAATAGGTGTAGGTTTGAGACATAGGTGTAGGTTTGAGACATCCTGTTACTAAGTTTCTACAGGATTTTATTGTGTGCAGCTACTTTGTGCTTGGTGTTCATACAGTGTTTCCTAAATGTTAGTGTTTGATGTAAGGTGACACTGAGATAATTAGGATGGAAACAGTCTTCAAGTTCTTAGCCTTCCCAGGCAACCGTCCGTTTCCTGTTGGCTGCACGATTTCGTAGGTGGAAAGCACACACTTGTGTCTTGGCAAGGCTAGGTTTCAGGTGCTTGTCTTTGTAGTAGCTAGAGAGATCTTTCAGGGCTTTAGTAAGTTGGTTTTCAACTGTTTCAAAGTCTTATGCTTGTATTGTTAAGCCAAGGTCATCAGAGTATATAACGCTCTTTGTGAGTGGTGGTTGTGGCTGGTTGTTAGTACAGATACTAAACAAGGTTGGTGTGAAAACATTGAGGTAGACCAACAGGCAGCTCTGCAAAGACTTGCCTTCACCTTTCCTCTGAGATGAGACGCTCCTCTCCAAACCTTGCCTATATTCCCCTTTCCTCTTGGGAAGGAGAAAGTGCTCTTGCAAGGCTCCCCTCACTTGAAACGAAGAGGGTCCTCTCCAAGCTTTGCCCACGCCTTTTCTCCTCTGGCAGATGAAGAATGAGAGGCTCCCCTATAATTCCCACTTTCCTCTGATAGGTGAGAGGCTCCTCTATAAGACTCTTATGTTCTTCTGCTTGGAGACAGAAGACAGGCTTCTCCATTACACTCGCTCTGCCTTTCCTCTGAGAAAAGAGGTTCCACAACAAAGCTTCCCTTCTCTTTTTCCCCTCTGGTCAGTGAGAAAAGAGAGGCTGAAAGTCTTGCCTACCCCACCCCTTTTCCTTTGCTTGAGGCTCCCCTAAAGGCCCCTTTCCCTCCTCAGTGAGAGAAGAGAGGATTCTCTGCAAGACTCCCCCTCACCCTCCACACTCCACCCAAGTTTCCTCAGCTGCCTCCAATGAAGAGTCTCCCGCTCTTCCCTCCTTTTGGGCGCGCTCCCAATCTCTCTCTCGTGCTCGCTCCCTGCCCTCAGGGCGCGTGACCCTGAGCTGGACACTCGCGCGCGCGTGTTTGCTCGGCCCCGCCCCTCCTGCCTCCTGCCAATCCAGGTTCTGGGGATGCTGAAAGCCTCCTCTCCCTTAAGGCTCCCCGGGCTATTCTCCTGGGCAGATTTGCAGGGAGGGGCCTGCCTGAAACCGGGGCTGCTGGCCAAAAGCTGGCAAGGCTGACCCCTCAGGAGGACGTTGGGTAAGGCCTCCTCCCATATCCCATCATAACCAAGAAGGGAAGAGTTTGGCTCAGGGTGCAGCTACTCTGTAGAACTGATCCAGTTTGACACCACTTTACAGCTAAAGTACCTCAATGCTATGGAATCATTGCAGCAGGGCCATACAAAAGGTGACTGGCACAACCTGGGGATCATAACCAGATATAGTGAAGACATTTGCCCTTGCTCTTTGCTACTCTGCTGATGAGTACACACGCCCAGTGTGGAATACATCTCACCACATCAAAATAGTGGAATAATTCATGTTTCATCAAATGGAGCTAGAAATAATATCGTACAAAAGCTGACTGGCACAACCTGGGGATCACAACCAGACACAGTGAAGACATCTGCCCTTGCACTTTACAACTCTGCTGCGGAGTATGCATGCCCAGTGTGGAATACATCTCACCACATCAAAACAGTGGATGTGACTCTTAATGAGACATGCTGCATTATCACAGGATGTCTATGTCCAATACCACTGGAGAAATTATACTGTTTAGCCGGTATTGCACCACTTGACATCCATTGGGAAGTAGCAGCCTGTAATGAAAGGACCAAGGCAGTGACATCTCCGGCCCATCCTCTGTTCGGATATCAGCCACCAAGCCAACGCCTTAAATTAAGAAAAGCTTCTTCAGATCTACAGAGATACTGGCAGGAACACTTCAGCAAGCAAGAGTCCAAAAGTGGCAGGCGAAAACTCAGCACCTCAATCAGTGACTGATACCGAATGAGAGACTCCCTCCTGGGCACACAGAAAGTTGGAAGGCGCTGAACAGGCTGTGCTCTGGCATCACAAGATGCAGAACAGACCTTAAGAAATGGGGCCACAAAGTGGAGTCCACAACATGTGAGTTTGGAGAAGAGCAAATCACAGAGCACCTATTATAATGCAGTCTGAGTCTTGCCACATGCACAATGGAGGATCTTCTTATAGCAACACCAGAGGTATTCCAAGTGGCCAGCTACTGATCAAAGTTTTAAAACTGTGTGTGTGTGTGTTTAAAGATACATTACAACTGTACCCTTGGTTCGCTTCTGATACGATAAATAAATAAATGGCAAGGCCTGTAGCCTTCTCTGCCAAAGAGTGCTGATGCAGTGGCTGACTATAAACTGCACACCCTGCAGTTATTCCCCACCAGAAACAGGTTTTTGGATGCTAATGGACCTAGTTCTTGTCCTTGCTCTCAGTTTTTCAGAGGGTGTATCTGCACCAGGCATTGGGAAACTTTGACCCTCCAGGTGTTTTAGATTTCAACTCCCACCATTCCCAACAGTCTCAGGCCCTTTCCTTTCCCCCCTCAGCCGCTTAAGCATAAGCCTAAGTTTTCCCAGGCCTGATCTACACTGTAGAATTAATACAGTTGACCCCATTTGCACACAAATGCAGAGAGTTTGATCTTTAACCTTCTCTACCAAAGACAACTGGGGTTTCACCAAGCTACAAATCCCAAGATTCTATAGCATTGAGCCAATGCAGTTAAAAGTGGGGTCAAACTGCATTTATTCTACAGTGCAGATGGACCCGTAGAGAGCCATGGGCTTCCAGATGAAGGGCTTCTCTTCAGAGCAGCTGGAAGACTTGGCGTAACTGTTGTTGTTATTCACCATCAATGTTACCTTTCTGAGTGTATCTACAGTGTAGAATTAATGCAGTTTTAGCACCACTTGAACTGTTGTGATTAAGTGCTGTGGGATCATGGGAGTTGTAGTGTTACAAGTTCTTTAGCTTTTTCTGCCGAAGTGTGCTGGTGCCTTATATTCTGTTGGTGTCTCATTTTTGTTTGTCTGTTTTTGGCATTCCACAGTATCTGTAGAACTTGCCATAAGGGATTTTCACTGCTAAGGACATTAGAGGCATGGAACAACAGGGAAGATGATAAGTGAAGGACAATATCATCCAAACCCTCATAAATATTTATTTATTAGATTGAGATCACACTTCCCCCCAAATGGGACACATAATAGCTTAGAATTCAAAGAATGAGGATGGGTAACATTTCATAAATATCCTGCCCAAGGATTTGTCATCTTTTCTTCAAGGTTTTTTATGTGAACAAAAAAAGAAGGGGAAAGTTTTTGGCAGTGTCAGAGGATTGCTGGGATATTATGCAATGTGTATCATATCATGTGAT